TCAAAAACAGGACGTGTAGAGGCCAAAAACGGTACGTGCAGAGGCCCAAAGTGCGGCGCACTGAGGTGGCGATAGGCAGCAGCAGTGATGGCAGCGACGGGCAGTGGCAATCCCTGCAGCCTGGAACAGCTGATAGGCGGGAGGCTGATCCAACCAGCTGCTTGTGCTAAATCAGACTGTACTGAAGCTGACCAGGCTGTGTGCTGTTTGCTGCAAGAAGGTAAATTGCTGGGAGGCAGAGGCAGATTTTCCCCCCCTTGTTTTCCTCCCCAAAAGCTAGGTGCGTCTTATACTTCGGAGCGTCTTATAGTCCGCAAAATACGGTATGTGTCTTATTCTTTTTAGAGAAAGAAGGCAAATAATCCCTGTCTTTTTAACTGAAGCAAGTGAATGGCAAAACATAGGTTTCATTATTAAATTTTGGTTTCATTTATTACTTATGGGTTTTTACAATGCATATTTAAAGGATATTGTAGCAAATGATTTTGGGTGCTTAAAATAAAATAATGGACGATCTGAGTTTAGAAAGTATCTAAAGTATAAGTAAAATTATCCTCAAGAATTTTGAGGAGTTGGTGGTTGCAGGAAGAGATAGCAAGTTTTCAAAAGAGTATTTTGCCTCTCTCATAATTGCTGCATCTTTGTTCCTGTATCTTGCTTTCAAAAGCAATTTGACATTAAAATGTAAAAAGAGAGAACAGTGCGCTGAGATAACATTAATTTCCTTTCCCTACCTTTACAAGTCTGAAATAGTGTTCATTATTTGGCAAAGTTCTGTTTGTATATTAGTGCTTCATCTCCAAGGAGTTCAGAACTTCTTTGCTTTTGCTTTTAATCTAAAACATAATTTTCTGAAGGTCATGAGTGTTATTTTAAGGTAATGTGTTAGGTCTATATTAATTTTCAGCAGGCGAAAACAAAGAAGTATTGAAAGAAGTCCTTTTGATATTTTTAATTTAATGTTCCCAATCACAGTTCACTTTCACCCTCGCAACCAAATAAGTAAAAGAAAGGATGCAGAGCAGAGTTTTTGGAATGTTTTCCAACTCCTTAAAATAGCCTTGGGTCAAATGACTAGGAAGGAAGTGGGAGGGGCTTGCTGCCCTATTCCTTCTCATAGGAATGCATTGGAGATTTTTTTGGGAAGGTTTTTCTCTTCTATCCTTTACCTGATCCAGCTAATTTTCAAACTCAATCTTTCTCTTGTTGGCTTTGACTAACATACCAAATTTGATCCCATTCTCTTTGTTTTTTTAGCAAGGGGGGGAGTTATCCTGCTAATGGACAGATAGATGGACCGCAAGAGCCTTGAATGCTTTTGCATAATATGTTTCCAACATTCCATTGAACTGGATAGCATAACAAGATAAGGACAGAATGCTGAACATGGTTTCAAAATGTTCCCCCCCCCCAGTCTTTTAATAATAGCACCACTCTGAGTCCCATTCCACTGTGCTTTTGAAGGTTATCCTGTGAGTGGATAAAAGGCCAGAGGCCTGAAATCCTTTGCAAAATTTGTTTTTCAACCGTTAAATTGAAAATATTAAAAAGGGTACATCTAAATTCTGCAGGGAAAGTGTAGCCTTTTAGAACTTGAAATAAAGACTGCTTTGTTTATTCAAATGAAAATTATGTTGTCTAGCAATACTTTTCAGCAATTTGCCAAGGCTAAACTGTTTTGTCTTTCTTTTTGTTGGTGTTTTTTCCCCCTCTCTCCACATTGCAGCTTTTAATGAGATCACCATTTCATATATTTTTCTTTAGCTGCCTTTGGCTTTTGACGCTGTTCATATTTTCTGACTTGTAGCCCTAGGGTTTACTTAAAAATCTCTCTGATTAATAGTATTAAATAGCATTTTGAATGTTTTCATTTTTGTTCCTGAATGTTTGTCATTTTCAGCTAGAGATCTTAATGAATGTCATGATGGTTTAATTCTAAATTCCATCACTTAAACTCAAACAGTTGATTAAAATGAGGACTTATAAATATTTCCGAATAAATATTTACTAAAATCAATGTGATGAATATTTTCTTTGCTACCTGCCAGGCTTCTACCACCAGTATGATTTTTTTTTTAAAAAAATGTTATTTTATTCCTATAACAAAACCACATAGATGGTTATCATGTGCAAAGCACATCTTTCCTTTTAAAAAGGAGAACACGGGCACTTTAACAAAATTAAAAGGATTGGTAGATGGTTGGTACTGATTTAGAAATATGCCCATTGATTTGGAAATCAGATAAAGTAAATAAGGGTATGCCTGGATGCCAGAAATTATAGGCATCTTCAGTAGTTAGATTTCCAATAAATGAATGCTTTGTTCTTATCACACTCTCCATAGAGCCTTTTGTGAGTATACCTACTGTGTTTCCCCGAAAATAAGACCTTGTCTTATATTTGAAGCCCGATATAAGGACTTGGCCTTATTTTTTTGGGGGGGGGTCTTATTATTTTGGGGAACAATTTGGGGGTGGCAGGTGGGGAGGGGTGGGGAGGGGGAGAAGCGAGGGGCAGGAAGCCCTGCCATGCCCGGCGAGAGAAGAGACAGCAAGAATCATGGCTGCTTTTGCAGCCGATTGAGGCTACAAAAGCAGCTGGAGGCCCCACGCATCTTGCACTGCCTTCAAGAACAGTCTTACCTCAATCGGTTGCCAAGAGCTTGGCCCCAATTGAGGCTCCCTGGGATGGAGCCAATAGCCCAGTGCTTGAGAGGGTCTTGGGAAAAGCTCCTTTATGCAACCCAGCCTCTCTTTCAGGTGGGCAGGAAGCCCCCTCCTACCATGCAGCTGCTGGTTGAGAATCGGGCAGTCCTGGGAACCATTCCCTGGCTTCCAGCAGGAAGGCGTCTCCTTTGGGCTACTGAGCGCCAGCCTGCACGCTTACTTGGTGCTTAAAGTGCCAGGCTACAATCCTGGGTCTGGTGGGTGCTGCAGCTCTCAGGCCAGCTGTGCGCAGAGCTGGCATGAGAGTTGCAGCGGCCACCAGGACCAGGGCCCAAAAAGCGCCTAGTTCAGTGTAGCTGTAGCCCCGCCCCTGCAGCACTGAATAGGCGTACAGGCTGGCACTGTACAATGCTATTGTGACCTAGGCTCACTTAGTCATTACAAGACACAATTAGTCCCAAACAAAACTATTTTATTATAACAGCTGAGAATTACTTCATTCCCAGCTTAGTCCAAATTAATTCCAAAACAAGTCCTTCAGAAAAAGTCCTTTGGGCTTATCACAAACTTTTATCTTCTTTGGCACCCTGCCAAAGGCCTTTCTTGACAAAGCCTCATGAAGTTCAGAAACAAGAATCGCCGACTGGAAACAGATTTAGCAACATTGCTTTCCTACAAAGAACCCAAGAGCCTTTGTTACTCTTTTAAGCCTCATTGGAGGGGCCAATCATCTCCTGGCCTTACTCCCGAGTCATCGCTTTTGCTTGAGCTGCGCTTGCCTTCTGGCAGCTCTGTGCATGCGTGCACTAGGAACAGGCTCCTCCTGTTCTTCTACCTCTCTGCTGTCCAACTCTGGAGGCTCCAGAGTCCGCGCATCATTCCCAGATGGCCCTGGCCCCATCTCTGCCTCCAACGCAGAGCCCTCGTCTGGGCCTTCCGCAGACTCCAGGTCTGGCCCATGGTCCTCCCCAGTCTCCTCACTGTCCGACTCTGCTGCCAGCTCCGCAGGCTGCTGGTGGACCACCACAAATGCAGGCCGATGCCTATCGGGCGCCCAAACACTTTTCACCTGCTTTGTCTCCCTCTCTCTGTCTGTGTGTGAGAGTGACAGAGAGAAAGAAAAAGAGAAACAGTGGAGGGGAACCAGGAAGATAGGGTAGACGAAATGCTGGTGAGGTGATGGCCATCATCTGCCATGAGCGAAGCACCAGGTGGAAGTACCCGCTGTGCAGGGGTGGCTGAGCCTGCATCGCTTGGCTGGCCAGGGTGGGCACAGCTTCCAGAGTCTGAGCCTTTCCCGGTTGCTGGGCACCGGGCCCACCCTGCCCTCCGCTTCCGAGCAGGGAGGCTGTCCTTGGTGGGTGGAGCAGCGGCTTCCTCCTCCTCTTCCCCAAAGGCCTGCCCTGCTTAAAGGCCCAGCATGGCGCTTCCCCTAGCCCGCCCGCCTGCACTCCCCTCGGCTACCCCTCTCCAAGCGTTCTGATTGCGCAGCCTCCCTGCCCCTTGACCTAAACTAGCCAAGAGGCATGCACAAATCCACTCACAGCAATGAGCCAAACCGGTCCAGAGCCTCACCGCTTTCGGTTGCTGACTCCCTGGCCCGAGGCTCCCACAGCGCACCCATTCACGTAGGGAGGACGTGCCCTTTTCCGTCTGTTTGCTGCTTTGGAGAAATGTCACAGCAGTTTCTCTCTCTCACACATACACCATTCTTTCTTTGGGATCGCAACACAGACACCCTTCCAGAATTGCAAGGCTGAAGGCTTAGGATGGAGTTCTTTGTGGATGTGGGTCTGTGCTGCGATCCCAAGTAAAGAAAGATTGGCAGGAAAAGGGGGAGGAGGACAGCAGCTGGGGAGGTGCTCTAGAGATCTGGGCTGAGTTACACAGCCCTCACTGGCTCAGCTGATCAGCGGGCAGCAATTAAGGAGCTGAACCTCCAGGAGGTGACCGGGGAAGGGAAGGGCTGCCTCCTGTGCTGGCCATGCCCACCCCTTTACTAGGGCTTATTTTCGGGGGAGGGCCTATATTTATGCCCACCCCAAAAATCAGGCTTGGCCTTATTTTTGGGGACATGTCCTATTTTCGGGAAAACAAGGTATTATCTCAAAATTTCAAATGGTAGTTACTGTTAGGTAAGATACCCTATAGGCAAAATTTGGATTCTTGGCAAGCTTTGTCTGGATTTTCATTTAAATGAAGGGTTTTCTCTAGGATTTACTATAAAGAACAAGTGGCAGTACTGTATGAATAATCCTAATTAATCCTTTGTGGTTCCTTATGAGAGTTAAACATGGCAACAATTTATTTCATTTGCTTTTTTTAATTATTCAGGGTGGTACGCAGAATGGCAAAACCATATGAATTTAACTGGCAGAAGCCAGTGCCTTCCTTTCTACAGGATGGAGCTATTTTTGACAGATACGAAGAGGTAAGGAACTTATACAGTATCTGGAAATACAACTGGAAACTGCATTCTGAGGGCAAATAATAGAATTCTGTTTCTGGTCATTATTGCTTCAGAGAGGAATATCAAACACCACCTTTTTGTGAAAGTAGACGCTGTGCAAGATAGGAACAAAAAAAGAGGACTCATTTTGAGCTAAGCCTAACTTAAGTATCCTGGTGACCATGATAGAAGAAAAAGAACCAAATTAGAGCTGTTCCAGAGTCCTACTCGGTAGGAAGAATTATAACTAGTACTAATTCGTATTATATCTCTCTATATAAAGATTTTGAATGATAGTTTCCCTTCAGCAAGCAGTTTTGGTAATGATAATAAACATTCCCATTCAACTTGGTGAGTGTACATGTATTTAAAAATATTGTTTTCTGAATGCACAGCAATTGAATTCCTACTTTTTTGCCATCCTTTTAAAATTCCTCATTGAAAAATGCATAGAAAGAAAAGAATGTCGATAGACCAAAGTCTAATAAAGATCAGAAAGCCATAGAATCCAGAACAAAAATATATATAATATGTAGGCAAGGCAGATAATTCAGTGATTTGCGTAAATAAAAAAGGATAAAAAGAGGTCATCCCAAGGAATGCGAGAGGGAACATATTGCACTTCAAAAGATTAAAATGCAGAATGTTTTATTTAACCATGGGATCAGCATTCCTTTTAGTAGTAGATAGTTTGTTTAACTGAATGTAACTGTCTGGCATTGTTTGATACTTTAACATGCATAAACGGAATCTCAAGCATTTGATAGATTAGCTGAATATTCTCTTTAACATGACAAGCAAGTAAAAGGCTGAAATCCCAATAATCCTCTTTGGCGATACTTTTACTCCATTTTCTTAGCTCTTGAAATAAAAAAAGTACTTTTAAAGATTTAAGATCTGCTAAGATTGTTGCAAATCTCATTTCCAATAATTGTAGCATACAGTAAGAAAACATAAGCATTTGCTGAATGATTTTTGCTTAGAAAAATATGTTTCAGTATTTACTTCCCCATCCCAAATATAAAAAAAAATATCTATTAGAAATACGCAGATATTTTTTTCCAACAGGATGCAGTGCTTTAATAAATGTGGAGGGAGATAATTTGCATGGCACAAATCAACCTTCATATGTAGTTCCTATGCAGGAATCAAGCAGACTGTTGCACTGAATGGTAGACCTGGGTACACTTCCAACAGTTGCATCCAAATTTTACCTTTTCGATACAGTTTGTAAAATGAGTGGTTTCTTCATATCTCAATCAGAGAAATTTTCCAGTAATTGTTTTAAACTAAAAAATGGAATGAAATGTAAGATTTAGAAATCTGTCTCCAAAAAAATTGTTGGTGGGAATCCATCCCTGCATCTCCGGTGTGGAATACCCAAGTTCATGAGAAAAGGTGGTGGTGGTGGTGGTGATGATGATGATGATGATAATTATGTACCATCAAGTTGTTGTCAACCCTTAGCAACTGCATAGACTTTCTTCATGATGAGCTGTCCCTTACTTAGTCCTTCAGCTTTTTTAACAATGCATCCATCACCTTTGTAACTGAGTCCATCCATCTTGCTGCTGGTTGCCTCTTCTTCTCTTTCCTTCTACCTTTCCCAGCATTACAGTTTTCTAGATTATGGATTCTTGCATAATGTATCTAAAGTAGGATAATTTGAGCCTGGGGAAAAGGTGAGGTATATCCTTAAATCAGTATAGAAATCTACTAGGACCTAAGAATATTCCTTCATAGGTAAAAGCTGTAAACTTCAAGATCATACTGTTTAACTCCATTGAGTAACATTTCTACAAAGATCACATTGCTGCTTTGGTTATTCATTCATTTAACATATTTTGTCTCTGAATTTTTTAAAAAGGTGGGTAATTTGGATTCTAATTTCTTTCTTGCAGACCTGAGTATTTTGGATTTCTCTTTCAACAGGAATCTTCTGTTTTTGAGCCAGGCTGCCTCTTTAAAGTTGATGAATTTGGCTTTTTTCTATCATGGAAAAGTGAAGGAAAGGTAAAATTTACAATGATCTCATGATTTTTTTATTTTTTATTTTTGCTTCCTCTAACAAACATAAGGTACAATTCTAGCTGTCCTAGTGAGAGGCACTGTTTCCAAATATTAGGGCCTTAGATTACAATGCTCCTGTCCAGTGATGGCTAACCTTTTCTGCACCGAGTGCCCAAAGCGTGCCTGAACCCCCAAAATGCAATGCATGTGTGCCTCCTGTGCATGCGCCCCACGCATGCACGTCCCGCATGCACCCACCTTGCATGGGTGCGCGGGCCCCACACATCCCCCCCTTCCCTCACATGAGTGTGTGGGGGCCCCGTACACACCCCACTCCCTGTGCATGCGTGGCAGAGCTGAATTGGAGCGACAGCTTGCGTGCCCACAGAGAGGACGCTGCATGTCACCTGTGGCACACATGCCAGAGGTTCGCCATCACGGCTCTAGCCTGTAATTTGTTGAGACAGCTCCCATAATATCCTGCTACTACTATTGCATTGCTGTAGCGGGATTATAAGAATTGAAACTGAACAACTAGAGGACATCAGACTAGATAAAGTGCCTAAGCCCCTAAGCACACTTATTAAAGGTATAATGATGAAGAAATATTCCAAAGATTGTAATATTGATTTGAAGGGAAGAAAATAATTTTCAACCAATAATTTAGTTCCATCCATTAATAGTGAAAAGAAAAAAAAAGTGCTTATGGATAGAAGATGTGTGTTGTGTGTGTGGACTTGCAATCCTTGTTCTATATCTTCTAACCATTCTCTACTTGCCTCAGTTTTGTACCTGTATAGCAACAACTCATTTTCCACTACCTAGCATCTCTCACCATTAGCTCTGTGGAGTTCCTGGAAGAATCTCTGAAGAGCAGAAAATTCCCTACCTTTCCATAGATGTCAGCCTTACCAGATAGACCAGACAGGAAACACGGCCAAATAAATAAATTCTGCTTTGTTGAAAACAGAATTAACAGGACCTTATAAGACTGAAAGTACAATTCTTGCACCATCACCTGTATAGCCCGATAACTTTGGGAGGGTCCCTTCTGGGCCTCTTGCTTTGCCCATCATGCAGCTGTAGGCTATGCTCCCTCTTATCTAACTGTTCCTTGGGCAACATCCCTTCACCAGGTCTCCCAAAATAATTCCCACATATAATTACATCAGACCTCATCCACCATGGCCAATTGTTAGATATGAAGGCACTTAGACGCTGACAAATTCTAGAGAGCACAGGTTTTCCATGTTTGTTTTTTCTGACATTAATGTAATATATACTGCCTGGTATGAATTAAGATTGTGTATTTTTGAATGCTTAGCTGTTGGTGTATTTTCTATTTCAAGATACATCACATTGGCTGCTTGGCATTTATGATGTTCCTTTCTTTTCCAGGAAGGCCAAGTTTTAGAATGTTCCCTGATCAACAGTATTCGCTTTGGAGCGGTACCAAAGGTATTTCTGTAGTTTTGTTTTAAAGTATTGTTTTAAACAATTGGTATTGGCTTGAGGCCCAGGAATGGAAACTTTCTTCTGTTTCAAGAACTTCTGAAGTCTTTGCACCCTTAAGGAGGGACAATGAATTTTTAATTTTGAAAAACCGGGCTGTAGAAACTAACTTTTGGTGAAGATCAGATAATTTAGAAGTGTTTACATACAAAAAATATATTACACCCATAGATCTGAGTTTCTTCAGTGGCAAATATTGAAACATGTGCTGAAATTTTCCCATGTAAATCTGTGGCACTAAGAAGCTCTATCCTGATGCTTGCATTGTATCACAAACATTTAAAATAAAATCTAGACTTTAGATCAAGGCTTCTTGTTTCAGAATACCTTCAGACATTGAAGGCTATGATAAATATAATATTTTAATATACATTTGTTCTTTGGGATTCTGATTCTGATTAAGATGGTACCTTCCAAATGGGTTTTCTTGAATGGGATCAATAAACTGGAAGCTTCGACATCAAAATGACATGATTGTGTTTATCTCTTTCCCTTAGCCCTGGCTCTTGTCTAGTCTGTTGGGCCCATAGGATAGTGATACATTTCACAGACTAATACTTTTCCATTCATGCTTCTAACATAATTTCCCCTTTTCCAGTGGGAGTATTGGTTAGTTTGGCTGGTGGTAAAAAGACACCGCCTTCTGTGAATCTAAATTGTATTCATACATTTATCGAAAGGCAGACAGATATAATATAGTCCAATTTTTATAGTTTTTTTATTGTGCCTTTATTATTTTTAAATAACTCAAGGCAGTGAACCTAATATTCTTTATTCCTCCTGTTTTCCCTCAATCACAACCTCATGAGGTGGTTGGGCTGAGAGTGAGTGACTGGATCAAAGTCACCCAGCCAACTTTCATGCCTAAAGTGGGACTAGAACTCTCAGTCTCCTGGTTTCTAGGCCAGTATCTTCACCACTACACCAAACTAAAGAGAATTTAACCTAAATCCTGTAATGATTAGTTGACCGTAGGTGATGAAATTTTCCTGTAAATGCAAAACAGTTTGTGAAAGCTAAATTTAATGTTATTTGAAAATCAACAATGCTCCCAGACAAATTACTCTCTGAAGCAGTGGGAATAAATATTCCTTCCCACCCTCAATTTCATTTGGTCAAGCAAACTAGAGTGAAAGTAAAATTTCACTTGAATGCTAAATATGAAACAAGTGGCTCCAGCAAAAATATGCTTTGTAAGGCAGTCTTTTGTAAAACTTTTATATGGACTTGTTTTAAAAAGATCCCATGATCTCAAAGGGACATTTGAAGAAGGAGTAGAAGCCACTGATTTATTCCTAAGGTATTTTCTCCAACTTGATGTCTCCCAGATGTTTTGGTACTATATGCTGTCTGTGACTATGGAGAATCTCAGACATCCAGGTCATGGTTGCTTTTTCAAGAGGCAACTGGACTTTCTAGTTTTTGTTTGAAGACAGAACTGAAGAAGCTTCTTGGATGAGAAGAGAAACATCTTCAAAGAAAAGCCGGAAAGCCCAGTTGCCTCTTGAAAAAGCACCTTTGGGACATGTTGTCTGGGGAAATTTTGAAAGTAGCAGCATATCTGGAAGGTATCAGTTGGGGAAGTGTATCCTAAAGTACACTTTTTCTCTCTCTCCAATAACTATGATCGGAGTATTTCACTTGGGTAAGGTCACTGCACCCAGAACCCAAGAATTATTGTTACTACTTCACAGGCAGATTGTAAATAAACCACTATCAGTTACCTAACACGAATATGATCTGTGTATACTATTATCACCTGCCTAAGTAGAAAATGAAATACTTCTAAACATGTGCTTGGAATAACGGCAAAAATATAAAGAAGGTAAATAGAAATAAGAAATGCTTATGGGTGAAAATGACCAATACATTTTTCTTTTCGTTTTTTTAATCCATGAGGGTTTTTTTTTCAAGCAATTAATTTTGTCCAACAGGATCCAAAAATATTAGCTGCTCTTGAAGCTGTCAGTAAAGCAGAAAATGAACTTGAAGGACGGATAGTTTGTGTCTGTAGTGGCACTGATCTGGTGAACATCAACTTTACATACATGGTAGCAGAAAGCACTGAAGACGCTAAGGTACTGCAGCTAAACATAGCTTTGGTGTTTTGTGGCATTATTGTTCCATGTAAATCCTTAGTATTCTTTAAGAGGTTGGCAAATATTAATCTAAACACAGATCTTTTGACATCAATGGCAAAAATGAGCTAATCCCTCAGCTGAATTGGTGTGCTGCTTTTCAAATTATCTGGGTGTTTCTTCTGTATGGGAAAAATGTGTGACAATTAGGAAGTGTGTAGATGTGTGATAAGCAATTACACTGCAGTGAGAGATGTAATCTGTAACCCTTTGAACTAGAAGTCATAAGGACTGACTTCAAATTTATACCCAAGATCATAATCTGCACTTTCTTTAAAAATATTGTGTTTAATGGTAGGAAGGGCTGTACAGTAAGGAAGGATAAACTGTCTGATATTTGATATATGGAAGTAACAGAACAAAATTCAGCCACTAAATTGCAAGTTTAGGGTCCTTGAAAATGTGTTTGTGTCTATGTCTGTGTGTATTCCGTGCAAACTGCTTATCCATGTTACAGAGGTATTGCTCTGAGTGGCAGAGCAATTTTTACAGCGGCTGTTTTCCTTCTTCACTTATGAAAAAGTGGAAATGAGACAGTTCAGAAACATGTCCAGGATGGCTCAGGTGATGCTCTGAATTCATTAGATCCCAAAGCACTTTTCCGAGAACTGTTCTAGTATTAGAAAGAAACACTATGGCTGCTCTGCATGAAGTAGAAAGATTATATTCTCAAAAAGTTGCTACTTCTGGGGCCATTGAGTAAGTGCAGATAATCTGCCAGAAGAAAGAGAAGCTTAATTTAATGTCCATGATAATTTAATAGCATCTTAAACGAAAGAAGGTTTTACAAAACAACGATTAACCTTTAATACACAGTATTACATTTTCATGTTTAATTCAAATAAGAAGATAAGAATATATTGTTATCAAGAATTTATTTATAGGCTTTAAGATATAGCAAGTGTTGTTTATTGTAAAGTGCTCCAGTTTTTGTTCTTTTAAAGGACATCTGAATAGCAGTGTTGTTTTCCAGTATTCCAGTATTTGAGGGGTTGTCACAAAGAAAAGAGGGGCAATCTATTTTCCAAACCACCAGAAGGCAAGGCAAGAAACAATGGATGGCAACTAGTCAAGGAGAGAACCAACATAGAACTAAGGAGAAACTTCCTAACAGTGAGAACAATTGACCAGTGGAACGGCTTGCCTTTGGAAATTGTGGGTACTCCATCACTTGGTGCTTTTAAGAAAAGAGTGAACAGCCACCTGTCTGAAATGGTATAGTATCACCTGCTTGAGCAAGGGATTGGGCTAGAAGACCAGATCCCTTCCAGCTCTATTTTGATTGATCGTTATATGTAAAAATAATATTTTATAACAGATTAAGTGAGAAGCATGAGGTCCTTCAGGTATTGTTGGATTACAAATTATCCAGGATCAATTTCCCAATAATAAAACAAGTCAGAAACAATATTTCAAGGACTTTAGACAGTAGTATTTATGCAGAAATCTAAGAGTTGCATAATTCAAGGATTAGCATTGAATATTAAACTCGGTTTGAAAAACCTGGCAGTTCCTAAATTCTGCCTGAAGGGTATATTTTCCCAGAGAACAGAGAAAAAGGCAAATGCAGATATAGAGGCTGTCCTAACAGAAGTTCTTCCACTAAAGAAAAACCTTGTGTAACAATGATTTGAAATAGGGTTTTAGGATAGTGAGCTAATGAATTTTGAAGACTCAGGTACTCCTACATCTTTTGAAACAAAGTCTTGAACTAAACTCTGTGTGGGACAAACGGTAGCCAAGCTGAGAATGTGAGTAAAATAACATTTCACTGCTGTTTCTCTACCTGGTACACAGAGTTTCTGTTTCTGATCAGCTCTTATATATTTTTAGCTACATCTGTTCTAGAATATTAGGTTGTGCTTTGTAATATCTACAATGTTTCCTTGTTTTATGTCTCTCATTCTGCTCTCCCAGACTTTTCAGAAATCATATTAATTTGAAATTGCATTTTCACATTCATGTATTTTTTTCCAAATGTGTGATACCACCTTTAACATATTCATCACGTTAGATCGAGAAGGCTTTGGATAATCATTCTGCAATGGTGTGAATTATTTGTCAGAATATATTTCTGTACAGAAAGTGCATCCAAAATACTGATGCACACCTATGATGCAGGAAATCCTGCTCTCTAGTGAATCTAAATTGCGTGGCACAGCTGTTCCCCCCCTCGCTGTTCTACTTACGCGTTTGGCGTGTACTATGCATGCATGCATGTGCAGGATGCATTTGGTGCGCCCTGTGCATGCGTGCACAGCACACATTTGGTGCGCACTGCACATGTGCATGCACACAGCGCACATTTGGCACGCACCATGCATGTGCAAGGATGCAGCGCACGTTTAGCAATGCACTGCGCATGCACGGCCAGCAAACCGGTTCAGATTTCACTACTGGTCTCCTGTTTGAGCAGAGGTTGGACTAGATGACCCCAAGGTCCTTTCCTAATTCTATTAGTTGAGTAATGAAGTTGTAATGTAATGTTTCATCCCAATTGTATCTTCCCATCCCAGCCTGGTTAATCAGGGACAGTATGTTGTGGATCTTGTGGGTTTGCCATTACCTCTGCCTTCTGGAACACTTTTGACACCAGAGGTAAGGCAGCCCACCCACCCCTCTTCCGGCCTTCAGAAAGAATTGATCCTACTATTTGGCTTGGAGGTCAAAGAGTGATATGCGATCCTCAGGAGGGTTGGTTTTGTGAGGGTGTTCTCCCCACCGTGTTAACTTTATAACTATTATAGCCCTACCTTTTAAATTTTGTTTTTATCTTTGTTCTTATTTATGCTTTTATACTATGTATTATTATTATTATTTTGTAAACTGCCTGCAGTCACTTAGTTAGATAGGAGGTATAGAAATGTGATAAATAAATATCTGTAAGCTGCTGTTCCTATTTGTGATGCACTTCTTCTCATACTTTTCTGAAGCAAAGAAGGTATTTATTTTTAAAACTGATGTATATTTTTTGAGCTGTGTAAAATTTCTGCAGCACATATAGAAAGTAACTGGAAGGAAACTGTTTTGTTACAGTCTGAGATGAGGTAGGATGGATTCAAATTCTGCTTGATATCGCCAGATAATGGCATTAATTGTGCCATAAATGAATAAAGTTATTGAATAACGTATGTATGTAAGATTGGATAGATCTTATTTTGGATTATTAGATAGCCAAAGATGGTATTTATAGGTTATGGCATGAAATGTGTATGGATGGAGAAGTCCAAGCAGAAAGGGTAGATTATATAAAAATGAGGTTATAATTAGTACTCTCCTTGCTTACCTTTTTAGCTATTCTATGCATTCAGAGCTTGTTCATGGGGGACATCAGTTTTTACATAATTATTAATTTTGGAAAGAGGTAATAGAGTATTTATAAGATAGCTACAATATTGGTAGATATTAAATCAGTAGATACTAAATTGTGGATTGAGAATTCCCTATTTCTTCATGTACCACATCTGTAAGGTCCAGGTCTCCATAATTTCGGTTCTTAAAATCAAGAAAGTTGCAATATTATCTTAGAGAAATATCAACATACCGGTATTTTTCTTCCCCAATTTCTGGATAATTCTGCAACTGTATTATATTCCAAACCTCTGCTGACACCTGGTGGTGCAACTTTGGAAGAAGTGTTAAAGCTTGCATTTTTAAAACACCAGAGGCTCCTTTAAAAAAAACAAAAACAAAAAACCCTTTATTTTAGTCTTTCATATGCTGCAAAAAACCTTAGCTTTTTGTAATGGGAGATTATTTTGACAATTTTGTGTTTGTACTTCAAATATATGAATTCAGTATCATTATTTAAAGAAGAGAAGTTATCTGTATAAAACAAGCTTTTTTCAATAGAAGGTCAGAGAGAGATAAGCACTACTAATTATTCTAACTTGTGTTACTCTAAGATGTTTCTGTAGTTATATTGCTTTTAAATTGATTGATTGGGTGGTCACTATGCACACTTGTGGGCACACACTAGACATATTTGTTTTATCTTTTTGTCTTTCAGCAATGGATTGATGGACTCAGATCAATTATAGGTAACTTCAGAGCCAACAATGTCTGTCCCATGACATGCCTCAAGAAACAGTAAGCTTTTTTCCCCTCACCTCATCGATTACGATTTTGTTCCTTCTACATGTTTCTTGATGAGCATTTAAAAAAAGTTCCTTTCCTTATTTGGCACAACAAGAAATAAATACAGTATCTGGATAAGCTGCAGAAGGCATTCCCCAACATTACAAACATCCATAAGAAATGTGGTATTAATCTATTCCTCACATTTTTTTCCACAAATAAAATACGTTCCGAAAGTCAAACACACATTCAGGAGTTAAGGGAGTTTACTACTGGATTTTATGATCTGTTGAGAGAGGCAGTTTTAATTATTAGCTTTGCCTGAACTTTTCTTGGTTCAGGAGGGAGAACGGCTGCCCACTTACTGTACATACAAATGTTCTTACTTCATATGGATCCAGAACTGAATTATTCTTTTCTTTATGATATTTTTCAGAGAATATTACAATATATTAAGAAAATGCAGCTGAGACCAACTACTTAAATGTAATCTTCCTACCCTGTTCCGATTACCCTGAAGTATATTTGTACACTCCCCACTTTGTAAGCCCTCTTTTCCATTTCTTCAAAAAGAAACCTAAAAGATTTAGCAACAACAAGTTTGAAAAGATTCTTATAGTCCTTCCCAGTTTCCTTAAATGCTATTTCCCCTCAGAAACTGTTGTTACTCTCTAAACAGTAGAAGGTCCAATTCCTTAATATCTATGGAGATTCTCAGTCATCTGGATCATGGTTGTCCCAAAGGTGTTTTTTTCAAAAGGCAATTGGACTTTTCTTTGTTTTTTCCTTGAAGATGTTTCACTTCTCATCCAGAACTGAAGAAGCTTCTTGGATTAGAAGTGAAATGTCTTCAAGGACAAAACAATCGCCTTTTGAAAAAACACCTTTGGGAGTACAAGTCCTCAGGATACATAGTAATGTTAAAGAGAGATTTAAAGCAGAAGCATCTGAGAAGAAGGTTCTGGAACCTCTTTACTCACTCTTTCAGCCCTCCATTTGTTCTGAAACTACTTGGAATATCTTTGGCTGATGTAGGAAGAACCCTTGGGGGAATTAGCTGAGCTGCATGTTCCAACATCATCATCATTTCTATATTCCAAAATGTTAGGCTGAATGACTTGCCACAGAGCATCTCTGCTGTGGATGACAGAGGTTATTGTAGAATATATCTGAAAAACAAGTTGTAGAAGTAAGTTGAAGTAAGTGTTGGATACACAGACACACTAACAGCCCCCCTTACATCACCCTTTAACTTCCTGTAGCTTTTAGCACCCTTTCAGTAAAGCTCTTCAGAGTGCAGAAATTCCTGCTTTTCTTCATTCAAGGGACTTCAAGCGTACCTCATGCCACCTTTCCATTATTCACATTGCTCATGGAACATGGAAAAGCCAACATATTTGCTCTCTGGAGAGCAAGAATATGTGTAGAGTAACCAGCATTGCCTCTTCTCACTCATAATATGTAATACAAATGCTATTCAAACAAATGTTATCAAAAGTGCTTCAGTAGTTGCTTTATTTCTTGGATGCAAAAAAACATTTCAACTGAAGCTTTCCATCCATTACAGCTGAATTAAATATTTCATGTGTATTAAATTGTGTTCATTCTAGCATGACTGTAAAGGAAGGCGTTAAAGAAAGTGTGATAACAGAATGATAGTAGTCAGAGGAAATCGTTTCCCTCTTTTTCCTAACTTGTGTGTTTATTTATGCTGTTAAGATTTTATCTGTATCCAAAAATTTGGAGCATTTTCATTCAATTAGAACTTTTAGAACAGTGTCAAGGATTATGTAGCATGCATGTGACTCTCCACTTTCAATTATTCCTTCAATATCCCAAGGATATGTTACATGAAGTTTCTCCACCCACCCACTCACCCCCCCGCAAAAAAAAAAAGGAGTAGAAACAAGAATGAGAGGCCTGTGTGAAGCAAACAATTTCCATTCTCTTTTTTTTTAGCTGCCCATCCAACCCTGGAAAAATGACCTGAAATGGCAATAACATTTAGCAGTGAATTTTCAGGCTGGGGGGGAGGGGTTTGAAGAGCAGGGTTAGAGGTCAAAGTGGAAGCAGTTTGTATTTTAAAATTAGGTGAAAAATGTCAACCGTGTTACTTTCATTCGCCTCATGATATCACTGCATGGCCTCCTGTCCCCTCCAGAAGGCTAAGAGACAGGGTGAGCTGTGGCCCATTACTCAACTCTGTTTTAGAAGCCCAGGGTTCATTGTAAAATAGAGTCACAGCTCAGCTGCAACTGACTTACATTAGTCTGACTTTTTCTGCCCAAGTTTGAGAAAGCTGCATCTCATCTTCTTTGATCAAACTGAGTTTACGTCAAGCCCCCTTTAAGGCTTCTTTACACTGATAGTAGGAAAGAATTGTAGTTAGTCTTATGAATGAGAAGTAGCAAGTAGTCGTTTATAAAATACAAGAATGCACGAAGGTGAACATTTGACTCAGTTCTTACATAACTCCATGTGTAAACAGTGTGAACTTTTAAAGCCCTACTTTTATACTTCGTAATAAAAAAAAATCCCAGAGATAGCCTTTGGTTTATTCTCCTCCTACAGTTCATTTTATAAACTGAGCTTTTATTGAATTATTTGGAGAGGAAAGTCTAATTGTTTTTTCCCCTTCTAGCTGGATGAAATTGGCATTTCTGACTAACACTAATGGCAAAATTCCAGTTAGAAGGTAAGTGTATTGTGAGCTTCAACTGTGGGGTTATGGAGAAATTGTATGGTTGTGAAATTAAAATGAATAACAGTCACAAGTCAGAAAGCCCATTAGAAGCAATATATTTTAGTAGTCTGTTGATCAAGGTAAAGAGATCCTGTAATCTGTGCCTAGGATCTATGATTCAACAATATTTTCGATCCTGATCAGATGTTGTTCTCAAGTGAATAGCAAAATAAACAATCAGATACTGTATAGCCCTGCTAAAGAAACCTCCTTTATTTTGGGCATAGAATTGAAATTTAATAGAAATAGCATATCCATTTAGCCCTCTAAAACAGTTTTCTAGAATTGGGAAATTATTAATCCTGTATGTTCAGAAGGATAGGCAACATGCTTATTCCAAATGTTTAAAGTAATTACAAGTCTCACATCCTTTTTATTTCCATGCTGGCTTAGATATTGTATAGCATCCAAATAGCATCCAGGTGCTTAGCCCTGTTGTAGAGTTAAGCAGTGCAAATTTTTAAAGTTATGACTCAAAGGAATTATCACTGCTGGTTGATCTAAGTGCAAAAGTATAGGAGGAATAACAGAAATAAGTTGACCACTGTTGCTCAAAGGGGAACGGGGCTTAAGCAGCAACCAAGCTCTGGCCCATGAATATAATAAGGCTAAAGCAAACAACTACCATTGTTATCATTAGACCACATATTCAGCATCAGTGGACTAGATTATCTGCTTATTCTAGTGTACATAGAGAATAGGCATCACTGTAAAAATCTCTTTAGAGTCAAAAGTTGACTCTTCAAAAAAAATTTGAGAAAGCATTCATTCACAGTGAAAGAAATTTGAAGTGAGATTGGCCAAGGATTAAGTTTAGAACACGATATGAGAAAGTTTCTTAGATCACACCATATTTGCAATGGTTGACTAAAAATTCTACATACAACACTCCTGTGTTCATGATATAATTCTTGATCAGCCGGGATTTCTCTAGAGAAGTAAAGACTGTATGAAAACCCAAAAACAGAGAGAAAGAACATGCTGTAACAGCAGTTGTCAAAATTTGAGAAAACAACAACAAAAGGAAATATTTAATTTACACAAAAACCAAAATGTGGGAATAATTAACCAAAGAATCATAAAGGATGCTTGAAAGCTTTGTTTTTCAGCTTTCTTTCAGAAGGGTAAGTGGCAACAGTCTCCCAGCCTTCATCTACTAAAACAGAAACTCCACTACAAACCTCTGTGTGAGGACACAAGATTCAAATTATAGTTTTTCCTCAAACTTCAACTTTCTCATAATATCTTTGGATTTAATCCCCTATTGTATCTAACCTATGTAGGTATAGCTTTCTATATTAATATCTTCTATTGTTAATCCTGGTTTATGAATGTTCACACTCACTCAAAACTACACATTAGATATATGGTAATGGATGTGAAAGTTAGGTGATGGAATTATTTATTTATCCATATAAAAGTGTACTGTTCTTGAAGAGATACTTTACACTATCAATTCAGAAAATCATTAATGAACTATTGTCATCTCAGTAGAGGACATGTGATGCAGCTCTGTTTATGAGATTGCCAAAGCTTTGGAATAATTTAATTCTCCTTTTTTTCCCTAGCATTACCAGAACGTTTGCGTCAGGTAAAACTGAAAAAGTGATATTTCAGGCACTTAAAGAATTGGGTCTTCCCAGTGGAAAGGTATTTAAATTTCAAGAATAAAGGGTTTCAAGATGGGTGTTATAAGCCTAAAACAGTTAATGGTTGCAGTTGATTATTCAGTATTACTTCAAAAATTATTCATTAGCAGTTTGTCCACTGTTAATGTCTATGCTAATTATAATTAGAATATTTTAATGCAGTAGCTATATACTACACACATAAAATAATGTACATTATTGTTGCGATTATAGAGAACTATTTCCAGATTATTTTTTTTAGTCAAATAACATTAAATTATTTGCTTCCATCCATAATGAATATATTATAAATTCTTCCATTGCTAAGTCAGTGCTTATCCAACCCGGTATTAAGTTTTATTTTACTTTCAGAATGATGAAATAGAGCCTTCAGCTTTTACTTTTGAGAAGTTTTATGAACTAACCCAGAAGATATGTCCTCGTACTGATATAGAGGAGCTTTTTAGAAAAATGTAAGTTACTCTACATAATAAACTTAATTTTAATATTATTTAATCTGAAGATAATGCTGTTGTGTAGTGTTCCTATCAGAAGTCAATTTTTTTCTCCAAAGGTTTACCTCAATGTTCCGATACAGGTTTTCAGGATCTTCTGATTTAAAGAAACACTTTTGTTTTTAAATTGGCTTTACTAACCTATAATATTAACTTGCTATTATAAGGTTATTAACACAATATATGAACTAATTAGGTTAAGAAAGTCTTAACATCTGAGGTTTCATGCACTAAGTTATTAATGTGGAAGACTTACATGTTGAATTGCTTCTTTCTTTAATCTGTTAAAATTGGGGGCATAGAGAGAAGGAGCTTTTTTGTAGCAAGCATAGTCAGTATCACTTATTAGTGCTGATTTTGAAAATGCAGTTTAGGTCTGTTAAAGAATATTAGATCAATGCTGGGAATATAAAAAAAATGTCAACATGTAAATCATACCTGCTGTAGGATCTTACATGAAAACTTACATTTTTTTCTAATAAATTTCTTTTCAGCAATGGAGACAAAACAGATTATTTAACGGTAGACCAATTAGTGAGCTTTCTAAATGAAGTAAGCTTTTTCATACATTAACTACCTTACAAGTCTGTCTGCAGTGGCTTGCTTCTCCCACTTGTATCATTGCATGATCCATGCTATCATTCGCTGTGCTTCTGATCTGTTGGTCTTTCCGTTTCGGCAAGACTGAAGGTGCAAAAATCAACTCCAACTTGATGCATTCTCCTGTTCTCTTTTTGTTGGCTTTGCAACTTGCTTGCATTGATTATTTGCTGTATTGTGTAGATGCTCTGTGTGTGGTTGTTTTGTTTCTATTTCATATGTTGTCTTAACCAAATGATTTAAAATCTTTTTTATTTTTAGGAATTTAGTCCTTCTAAATATTGAGGAGGTGGTGGCAGGGAAATTGGGCTTCTCTCTGTAGTATCTAAAATGTTTCATTTTTACTGATGTTTTTGTAAGGTTTACATGTGACATAGCTGTCTTCAGAATGCTTGCATTTCTATTGTAGGTAATATGTCAGTGGTATGAAGTTCCTTAGATGTTAGATATGTTTTCTATGCATTACCAAAATACACAGTATTTTAAAATTAGTCACTCAATGGAGAATTCTTTGTGGTAAGATTTTAAAATTCTTTTTATTAAACGGTTGACATTCAGTATTTCATTATTTAGTACCGTAGATTGTACAAACAACATTGTTCGTATTTTGAATAATGTGTATGAACCAGTTGTTTCAATTGGCTTGATTAGACATTTCTTCAATGTTCCTTGACAGTGCAAAGTAGGTCAATAAACCTCCTTAAGTTTCTTTCCTGGGGATAAAGTTTAAGAAATCAGCATTGGTGAGGATTCATGCCATATCAACAAATGCTTTCTGGCTTTTTTCCTTTCCAAGTTCCTCTCATTTGGTGAGAGAAAAGAATTATGTCACAATAGCCAGTTTATAATGCAATTCTGATGTAGTTGATCGTATTTTTGTCTGTCATGGGGTTACTCTGAGGAGACCATCCACTCTTGCTTAGAAGTCTCTCCCACACTAAAATAGGAAAATCTTCAGCAGCGAATTTATTTTAATTTTTTCAAAATATTAGTTTTGAGGTTTGTATTTTTGTAAAATGCTTACCTTAAGAAAGGGAAAGAGAAACCTCCAGAAGACAAAGAAGCATGATAGCAATAAAGCAAAAAACGATATTTTGCTCTTGGTAGTATTGGTTAAATTTTCTTGTTGTATTGCCTCATACAGCAACTGTTCAAATTGTGATGAAATTTTTCATAGTGATGAAAAAGTAGCTTTGCAACCAATTCTTGCATGTACATCCTTTGCAAGTCTATTAAGCAAAGGAAAGCTGAAGTAAGATCATAAGTTACTGTTTCACTTAGCAACTGCTTCACATACCTGCTTCAGTTAACAACTAAGTTGCCGGTCCCAGTTGTGATTGCTAAACAAGAATTACCTGTACAAATATGTCAGCAAAATTGTTTGTTTTCATTAAAGGTGAATTGAGAAATTTCTTTGCTATCCTATTACCAGTTTTTGCCTTCTGATAGGAAAATGAAGACAAAACTTCTGTGTCTCTCATTTTCTCTGCAATTTTTTTGGCCCAGTTGCATAATTTTTATTAGAAAATGATCTAATGTTTATTTGTCTTTGTACTAGTGCCTTACTAGCAATTTTAAGAATGGATCACCAAGAAATGAGATTCATAAATTCATATCTCTAACATTAGCAATGACAAAAGAAAACAACATATAGCAACTTATGGAATTCATTACCATAAATGTAGAGATGGTCACTATCTTTCAGAGTGAATTATTGAAGTGCATGAAGAAGGATTTGCATTTATGAGATATGACTACAGTTCTTAGTTCACATATTATATTAGACATGATTTCTGATTATGGTTTTTTGAACAACTCATAGTGAATTTTTTATTTAATTGCAAATATGTAAGGGCACACACAATTACTAAATGAAGTAAATTTTGTATATCATGCTATGCCAGGAATAAACTAAGTACTTTATTCCTTAGCATGATGACTAAAAGTCAGCCTCTGATATCTCAGTTGCTGATCCTAAGAGCTGCAGAACTCAAAAATACTTTTTTGACCATAACTGGGAAAACACGCTAATTATTACACAGATTTTTCATTTGATCCATCAGAACTGATGCAATTTAAATTTGCGGAGTAGAAAGATTGTTCAAATATGACACTATAAGAATCCAAGAGAAAGAGAAATTTGGGGGAATTGTTTCCATGTATTTAGATTCTACCTTTCTTCTCTCTAGAATTCCACATTGGTAATTTGAAATACTTTATTAAGACTTCATATATAATGTAAAGCGCAGGTAGATTGTTAATATGTACTGAAACCACCTTCTTTGTTTTGCCACTGATTTTGGATATTGTACTGAAACACACGTTGCAAAGCTATTCACTGTACATGTTGGAGAATATGGTTTTGTGGTTGGGTTGTGAAGTTGCATCCTCTTTTTCAATAATGCATTAAATAATGCTTGCATCTAACAGCTTTTATATTTCATTAGTTTTAGGTTGCCTATTAAACAGCTGACTAGTTTTAGTATAATTATCCAGTACAGTGAATTAAATTAAAACAGTTCATCGGGTATACATTTACGGTATTTGGAGCATCGATTAAGGGAATATGATTTGCAATATGTGATTGCATTTTTAATAGTAGGGAAGCAGAAAAGAATGTTTTCAGTAGAAAGAAAAGTCATTTATTTGCTTTACATTGGCTATTGCTAGATGTTACAGAGAATGCCCAGAATATTTTAGAAATTTAGAAGTTCCATGTAGCATATTGGCAAGGAAAAAAGTGTTGTCTGACAACATAGGAGGCTCTATATTCCATCTTTAAATCTCTTTATTTTTAAATCCCCAATGAAAGGCTTATCTACACAGAAGGATTTATTTTGCTTGCATTTGCATGTATGTTATTTATAACAGCAGATCAAGCAGAAACTCTACTACATAATGTTTCTGCTGTGCAACTTCTGGTTAGCATTTAATCTGAAGCTTGGCTAGTATTTTAGGAAAGGACTGAATCGGACTTGTTTATGAGTATGTTTGATTAGGATTGGGCTAAGTGAAAGGTAACAGAATGTAGTTTCTGTTAACCTTGTGAGGTAGTGTAGACCAGGAACACAACTAAGAAGTACTGGTTTTATCTTTTTTATAAGGTTATAGAACAGATTTGCAAGTTTAACAGAATCTTACATGTCTGAAAATACCCTTCCCTTCTTTCACTTTTACTCTCCCAGAAACCAGGGAGGGTAATTTCTGTAACACTTTTGCCACCCTTCCTCTTTTGGATTCAAAAGTTATAGTTGCTCAAGAAAGCATTTATAGAAAGGTGTAAAAAGCTACAGTTCCCATAAACTCAACTCCCATAAACTAAATGATGAACTGATCTAGAATTTAGTAAAATGGAAACAATAAAATAATTAATGAATGGAAGGCATTCATTACTATGATTAATGTGGCAACTCCATATTTTACTCTTATTTAAATATGCTACATATAGCAAAGACTTATTAAATTGTTTTAATTACTAAAACCAAAAAAGAATAAAGGCGGTGACAATCTATATAGTACTAACAAATGTTGTTTCCATAACCTTTAACTGGACAAAATGATGCATCACAGAGCAGCAATTTTTGAACCAAGGTATCTTAAATCAGCTAACTTACAGAATATGTCCAGATTTGAGACCCATGAGTGCCATGGAATTGAACTTTGGCAAATTTTATAAAACAGTTCTATGATATAATACAAAATGTCATAGAACATAGATCATTCAACATGCGCTATTTTAAAGATGCCTGTCTGAATGTATCTCAAATTTTCCAATGAAGGCAGTACATTAGATGTTTTGTCATTGTTGAAGGCATCTGGTAAGGAAATATCTCTGAAAGGATGACCCAGCAGGTCACCAGTTGTTTAGAGTCAGGGCCGGATTTTCCTATAGGCTAACTAGGCTTCAGCCTAGGGCCTCAAGATCAAGAGGGGCCTACATTCAAATTGTTAGCAAAATTAAAATTACACTTTCACTATAGGTGAAAGGGCCTCATAAGTGGAATAGCCTAGGGCCTCTTTTCATCTAAATCCGGCCCTGTTTAGAGTATTGTATTAATTCCAAAAAGTGATCGATCAACTAACAACAGATTCTATCTTCCTCCCCATCTGCCCCCTCCCTATTTTTAATTGGATGATAATGTTTGGTTTGTTTTAATTTATTTATGTTTTGTGTGTCTCTCTCTGTGTGTATATAGATGAGATAGAGGTATCATTTATGATTGTAAGCTGCCCAGAGTTCTCCTGTGGTAAGATGGGCAGCCAATTAATTTTATAAATAAATAAATAGAACCATTATCTATCAATTACTAAGTAATATAGAAATCAATTTTGAGTCAGGTATTTCAAACTTTAATAAAGGGTATAATCTTTAACAGAAGAATTCATTTATTGTTATATAAGACACTTACCATTTTTTATTCAGACAGGAGTAATAAATATTGGTGATATACCCGTAGTTCCAAGTTTCTGCACTCTTATTAGTTTAGAAGTAAATTAACTGAAGCTATTTATTGAATGCCAAGAATTCTTTAAACATTCATTGCTACCTGTCTTGTACAATTTCACTTTCCTTTCTTTACACATTTCCTCTTCATATATGAATAGTCATATTTTAATGCATAATTACCAAAATGTGGGAATTTCAAAAGCATTTTAGTTCAAGGCTGGGATAGGGAATATTTTATTAATGAATTATAATGTGGGCAGTAATGTAGATAAATGATTCTTATTGCATGAATTTGTTTCTTTGTGAACATTTGTAGTCATTGTAGTCATTTGTACTAACATACCATTAGAGCACAGAATTATACTGAACATGAAATAAAATTAATCTACTTGTAAAAATGTAGATCTTAAAAAAAAATCAAGAAAAAAAATAGAAGTCTAATTGACTTTAAAAGCAAGCCCCTCCTGAATATTACTTGCATTGATGAAAGATTTGTAGAAGCAAGGCAGCATGTAGTAATTTTCATCAGTCTTGTTTTTTCTTGCCTTAGCATCAACGAGATCCTCGGCTGAATGAAATTTTATTTCCATTCTTTGATCCTAAAAGAGCGATGCAGATAATTGAAATATATGAACCAGATGAAGATTTGAAAAAGAAAGGTAAAAAGAAGAGGTGGATGTCAATCATTTCTGTTAAAAAGTTCAGTTGCTTTTTGTCAGCTACTCTGTACATAGGCCATCTTAACTTTTGTTTCATTGTAGATTACATTGTAAAATGAGGGCCCAGATTGTTGGGGCAATATGCGATATACTGCTCAGAGAGTGCTGTAAAGCACTGTAGAATGATGTATGAGTCTAAGAGCTATACTTCAGGGTTTTTCAGTGTTGGCAACTTTAAGATGTGTGGACTTCAATTCCCCAACCAGCCACATGTCTTAAAGTTGCCAAGGTTGAGAAACACCAATATACTTTGTCCATCTTTTAAAAGAGTCTGTGAGGCATCCAGTTAGGCTATTGTTTTGCTGCCTGCACTGACTGTCAGTATACTGTATTTCCAATCTCCATTTAAAGTGCTGGTCTGGCTGTAATCTTTAAAGTCCTAAATGGCTTGTGATCCTAACCAATAGTTTTGTCTTGTATTGCAGATAACACTCTAAGCAGAGGGATAGATTGATTTGATTTCCAAACTGTCTTTTATTTCTATAACTGATCAAACATTTCTTGGCTAGGGGGCTTTTCCTTAAAAATAGAGGCAAATGGAGATGGATTGGTTTGTCCCATAATCCTGGGACATCTTGTATGTATCCTGCCCCTTTAAATGGGAAAATTGTCTTTGAGTAACTCTGGTTCTATTTCTAGGAAAGGCTGGATACCCTTCATAACATAATCAGGAATCAAGAAACCCCCCACTTGTCTTCTTCATCAAATTGCCATCTCAGATTAATGGAATGAACTAGGAGCCCAATTTTTGAATAATGATAAAGCCTGCATTCTAACATTGTGTATTGTTCATTTCAGGTGTCATGTCAAGTGATGGGTTTTGCCGGTACTTAATGTCTGATGAGAATGCTCCTGTCTTCCTTGACCGTTTAGAGCTCTATCAAGAGATGGAACAACCTCTGGCTCACTATTTTATTAGCTCTTCCCACAACACATATCTCACAGGAAGGCAGTTTGGTGGAAAATCATCAGTGGAGATGTACAGACAAGTCCTCTTGGCTGGATGCAGGTGAGATGTACTTAAGGGAGGCTAAAACTCTAATTCAGTGAATTTAATTTGCCATCAGATTTGATGATTGAGGGAATATGCATGCATATATATGTTAAAAACCTATTAATAGGATTTCTAGAAATATATTTCAATATCTTGAAAGAAATTATGGGACAAATAGCACAATAAGGATTATGTTTTTTAAACAACAATCTGAATGCTGATTCCTTTGATTATAGGTTATCAGCAAATAATAAATTATACTGAAGTCAGATGTATTTCATTTTTGTACATATAAACTATTTTAATTACCAGCAAATTAAATCTGATGAAACTGCTAGTTTAACTACGAAAATAGATTTGCATTTCTTAATTCCTTTCTTTCAGATGATGTGCAAAACAATAGCATATTTAAAATGAGTACTTACCAATAATTTGAGTAGAGCTATATTGTTCTTTATAACTTGACTGTTGTGACTACTGTGTTCCATCTTTCTCTCGCTTTGACTTCTAGGTGTATCGAACTTGACTGCTGGGATGGAAAAGGGGAAGACCAAGAACCAATAATAACACATGGAAAGGCCATGTGTACAGATATTCTGTTCAAAGTAACCAGTTCCTATGTGATTTTTATTTTCTTGTAAATTTGCCACAGATTCAGCTGTAATCTGTGGCATTATTTTTTTTAAACCTTAGCTAAATCTTCTCTCGCTCCCCCATGATCACATTGCTCATGTTTGAAATATTATTTGTTCTACAGTATAAAATTCATTATGATTCTGTTAGGTTTGATATTATTCTTGCTTGTCAATGAAAAAGGAAGATAAAAAACATTTTCTACGAATAAGGAATATTTGGCCTAGATAGTGACATTAGTGACATGTCATCTCTCTCCATATTTCATATTGAATATTCAGATGTCTTGCCTTTTGACACTTATTTCAACATTGGTGATAGGATACTTCCCTACTGTATTTGAGAGCAACATTTGCTTATGTAGCAGAAGGTCGGTATTGGTGTGCAAGCTCAGTAAAGCTCTGGGAGATCCACCATTGTCTTCTGGCATCTTTTATCTGAGATGGCTGCTTTACCTGGCCTAATGACAGGAGTGGCCTGAACACCATACCTCAACCACGTTCAGAAGTATGGAGAATTTTGTGAAACATGACATCCAGGTTTTATGATGCAGATCCCCAGAGAAAAGATTAAGCTCTTACTTTCTCTGTGAACATGTGTACTATATATCCATGTCCATGTTGAATGAGGCATTTCTCCTGTTTTTTTGGTATGCTCAAGAATGCTGTTGAATTTATTTTGTAATGTACACAAGACTATTTTGCTGTATTTTTAAAGGATGTGATTCAAGCCATTAAGGAAACAGCCTTTGTAACATCTGAGTATCCTGTCATCTTGTCCTTTGAAAATCACTGCAGGTATGTTATGGAGTGGTAAAGATCTTTCATACTGTATTTAATTGGTGTAGCAAAAGGGAATTTATGTTAAAAGTCAAAGTAGGAACACAATTACTAATGAAGTAATTCTAGTCACTGACAAATTTGAACTCACTCTTAAAATTTTTCTGCCATTACAAAGGTTATGTGTAACTTGTTTTACCATATAGCTGTAAACTGTATAAAACATATAACTGTTTTAAACTGTAATGTAATAACAATCTAATGCAGTTGAAAGACATTACATATTTCAGTTTCTGTTCAGTTTTATATTTTTGATTGATTAACAATAATATTTCTTTTCCAGCAAATATCAACAATACAAAATGTCAAAATACTGTGAAGATATTTTTGGAGATCTTCTCTTAAAGCAGCCACTAGAAACACATCCAGTAAGAGTCCCCAACTGTTATGTTTAAGTATTCTTGTAGAAATGTTTGGAAATTTGATGGTAAGAGTGATGCACTCACAGTGACTGGGTAACATACCATTTGAGTTCTGTTGCTGGTGTGTGGTTTTTGTTTTTTTTTTGTTTTTTTTTGCCACTTCAGTGTCCTCACATATTTTTCTAGAGCTCAGAGTTTCTTAATCAGATTTCAGGTAACACCTACTGTTTCATAACCCAAACTCCTTTGCTTTGTCAGCATTTTATATTTGAAACTCCTCATTCCTAGATATTTATAGAAGCCCTCGCCTTCCTGCCTTAGAAAGTAGTGCTTCAGGGAATACCTATTTTTACATGTGTTTTCCAATTATCAGTGGTATTTTTTTTTCCAGAAAATTTTTTTTTATTTTTTTTTTAAACATAAAACATAAAATACAACTTTTTAGAGCAAGGGTTTGGTCCGGCATAAAATGAGTCCAATTATCAGTGGTATTTTAAAGCAGACTATTTCTTCCTGTGTAATGTTCAAAACACAGCTTGATGGTTTTGATGTGGGGGGAGGGCAAACATATCCTCTGTATGTATGATTTCACTGTTGTTATTGTAAGTTATCCTTTCTCATAGGCCTCAGTAAATCTTTATAGTTTGATTTTTCTAAGTTTCTCACTTTTTCCATCTTAAAAATGTTCTGTTCAGTTTTTGCAATGCTTTGCAATTTTTTAGAAAAAAGTTCATGCAAAAGGGCAAATTTCATTTAAAATACGCTGTATTTTTTGGACTATAAAACGCACTTCCCCCCCTCCCCCAAAATGGGTGGAAATGTCTGTGCACCTTATAGACCAAATACGGGCCTGTTTTTGGTCTATTGAGCCTTCCGCGCGTCCCTTTTTTACCCTCCCTGGCCCCCAGAAGCACTCTGGAGGCCAAAAACAGGCCTCTGCAAAGTGCTTCTGGGGGCCAGGGAGGGCGAAAACAGGAGGCACGGAGGGTTCGGGAAGCCAAAAACAGGCCTGTGTCTGGCCTGCAAAGTGCTTCTGGGGGGCGGGGAGGGCGTGAATGGGACACACGGAGGCCAAAAACTATTTTTTTTCTTGTTTTCCTCTTCTAAATTTTGGTGCGTCTTATAGTCCAATGTGTTTTATAGTCTGAAAAATACAGTACATTTCTGCAGATTTTGCCTCACATATATTCATCCAGTTGCTTAATATGTTTACACATATTCACACATATTTTTCTAAGTTATAGCATCAATTAAAATAAATAGCAAAAAATGCCATATCTTCACCTCTTTAAGTGTTAATTTATGGTAATACCTGTGATTGATCCACATGACACTTAAATGCTAAAATCTCTGGCACTTAGCCAAGACTGGATGCAAACTAATCAAAAAAATTCTCAGTATTCTGGGTAAACTAGATGTCCTGGGATAGTCCTCCTTTATTGAGATGCAATATGAGTAAGGTATACAGGTAGTCCTCGACTTACAACCACAACTGAGCCCAAAATTTATGTTGTTAAGTGAGACATTTGTTAAGTGAGTTTTGCCCATTTTACGACCTTTCTAGCCACAGTTGTTAAGTGAATCATTGCAGTTGTTAAATTAGTAACACGATTAAGTGAATCTGGCTTCCCCATTAACTTTGCTTGTCAGGGGGGTCACAAAAACTGTTCATATGCAACTGTCATAAATGTGAGTCAGTTGTCAAGCATCCAAATTTTGATCACATGATCGCGGGGATGCTGCAACGGTTGCAAGTGTGAAAAGTGGTCATAAGTCACTTTTTTCAGTGCCATTGTAAAATTTCAACGGTCACTAAACAAACTGTTGTAAGTTGAGGATCACCTGTAGTATTCTATATTTAACCTGTCCATGTTTGCCATCGATATATAAAATATAATGAGGAAAAAGCTATCACCTGATTGGAAGAATCACAAAAATTTGCAAAAGTGTAAGAAAACTTGCTATAAAAGATTCAGGCGGGGGAACAAGTGTTGAAGAAGCCCAGTGAAACGGGAAGGAAAGGAAATGGGATACAGAGGGAATGATAACTTAATCTTGAGCCATACAGAACTCTATATTGCAATACATTGTTGTAGGATCTGTAGAGTGGATCAGTCCAAGCATATTAAAGGCTAGCAAAACCTGCTTATGAGCACCGCTTCCTAGAGGCATTTTTAATTCAAAGCAGTTTTATTTTAGTTTGTCATTTGGAAAACTACTAGGGCAGTGATGGCTAACCTTTTCTGGACTGAGTGCCCAAAGCGTGCATGCACACGTGCGAATGTGCGTGCGTGCACCTGAACCCCCCCAAATGCAATGTGCATGCCCCCTGCACATGTTCCCTGCCCCCTGTGCATGCACGGCAGAGACCCGAAGACCAGTTTGCCAGTGGGAGGCGCACACGTATGTGCAGCAGAGCTGAACTGGGGCGACGGCTTGCATGCCTTCAGAGAAGGCGCTGCGTGCCACCTCTGGCACCCGTGCCATAGTTTCGTCATCATGGTACTAGGGTGTATATGAGACCTGAAGCATAATAACCTAAGTTGTCAAATGCAAGAAGATAATATCCTAGGTGTCTTACAATACCCAGTTTTAAAGGGAGGAATGACTGTTCTTCCTTTAGGTGTCTGCATGCGTGCATAATTGCCACCACCATAATAATTGTGAGGAAAGCAGGAACAAAAGGCAGCAGGGAGTGTATTTCCTAATTATGCCTTCTTTTTGCCTTTCAGCTTGAACCAGGAAAGTCCTTGCCCGCCCCAAATGATCTGAGAAAAAAGATTCTTATTAAAAACAAAAGGTTGAAACCAGAAGTGGAAAAAAGTAAGTAGAGTGCATTTAAAACACCTAGTGTTTTAAATGAAAAAGCATCTATTGCTTAACTTGTGTGCTGGTAACCTCCATTGTTTCCTTATAATAGCACTTATACTGCACTGCAAACTATTTGTGAAGTCTTTAAAGGACATCTTCTAGAGAATCCTACATTTTAGATTCAAAGTTTTTGCTTTTACTTACTATCACTAGATGTATTGAATGTTTTTTTGCTTTCAATAAATATGGCCATTATGCTTATTGACAAGGTTGAAAGTTAGAATCCCAATTCCTCTGGAGGAAAGTTGCTGTAGCCTATTTGTATGCATATATTTATAAAATGTATATGTCTGCCCATCTTACATATATAAGTCTCATTAGCTAAAATCCAGTTTACTATAGAGCACTAAATTAAAACTTCCATAAACAAAGCACAAAACAAACAAACCACATACTGTAATGGTAATACAGTAACTGAAATAACAAACTCAAACCACAAACCATACTTATACTGAACTCATCTAGCATCTTGGCCTGACATCTGGGGAAAAGCCAGGTCTTCATTGGAGGACAAAAGAGCTTCCAGTTCTTAGGGGAAGGCTGCTCCATAGGGCAGGTGCCATCACAGAAAAAGCGTATCTCTAGGCCTGTAAGAAAACACTGACCTTCTAATACTGTTAAAGAATTGGTTTAGAGAATATTATTCCGATACCAGTAATGAGAAATTTACTCAGAAATAACAGGATATACCAATGTCCTGTTAAGGAATACATTGGAATTCAACTCTTATGCAATCCTTCCAAACTTAAGTTTTACCTGAATTATTTTCCATAATTGGATTATAAAATTTTGTGGGGGGTTTTGTATGGATATGTACACATGTTTCTTTTAAATAGAACAGCTTGAAACTTTGAAAAGTATGATGGAAGCTGGTGAAACGGCTGCTCCTGTCAGCATCTTGGAAGATGATAATGAAGAGGAGATAGAAAGTGGTAAAGTGATTTTTTTTTTTACTTGTCATATTTTTAAGTTCCTCTTGCTGATGTTTGCAGTGTATCAGGTGATAGCATGTTGGATTTGTTGCCTTAGAACGGATGGGGAACGATAGCCCCTTTATGACTTGTAGATTTCAATTCCCAGAATTCCTGAGCCAGCATAGGATAGCTGGCTCAGGAATTTTGAGAGTTAAGGTCCACAAGTCATAAAAGAGTCCTTATTCCCCACCCCTGCCTTAGAATGAGCCCTTTGACTTGACAGCTTATATTTATTGTTTTCTTATAGCAGTCACTTGTACATTTATCTTTGGGTTCTGAATTTAAGATTATGTGCAGGAAGTACAGGCTATAATAAGGGGCAACATCTGTAGCACAGACATCATACCCCAATGCCTCCCAAAGCTTTTTCTGTAACCCTTGATACCCTTCTCAGCTTCAGGTTTCATAAATTACAACTGAACATAGTGGTTTTCAAACTAGATAGGTTGAGAGCGAATAGATTGAAGGAAGAGAAACTGTTTATGAAAAGTAGTGAATTGGCTTTAAAGTAAGTTATGAATGGGGACAACTTAAATTTAACATTTAACATTAAATTTAAACTAGGGTTCATCCAGTTGCAAGCCCTTAGTGAACAGCATACCATCTGTCCTCCTGTGTGTTATTCTCTGCCTCTTTGTCTCTATCAGTTAGCAAACTAATTATGGGTGGTTAATTTATGCAGAGCTATAGAAGAAAATAGAGGATGAACCTTTAATACAGAAGGTTAAATCATGTTTTAACTGTCATTGGATTTGCATGAAGTGCAGCATGATCTCCCTTAATGAATGAAGGCTATCAATTAAGGAACCTTTCTGTTGCCTTTGGTTTGATATCTTTGATTTACTGCTTGGTTTGGTTTTTTGGTAATTTTTTGATCATTTTATTCCCTCTTGTATTGCTACATAGGGGAGCAAGAAGAGGAAGCACATCCAGAGTATAAATTTGGAAGTGAGCTTTCTGCAGATGACCTGAGCCAAAAAGAATCTGTAGCTAATCACATTAAAAAGGTAAGACAGTTTTTTTCACATATGTTTAATTAAAAGGTTTAGAGACAGCCAAGAGAACACGTTGTAGGTTAAAAAAATGTGTATGATATTTTAGAAGTTAATTTTAAATAACAAGCAGTATCAATTTATCCAGGCCAATTTATTGTTTTTTCAATAAAAGGCTGCATACCAGTCCTAGAAGATATTGTACAGCCTTCATACATATAATTTGAATTAAAGTTACAAAGGCAAGACCTGTCTTTCTTCTTTGATAGTTACTGCTGAAGGACTAAAGTGCTAGGAGTTTATTGTCTCTTGAGTTATTGGTGCCTGTACTGAATAATTTCTCACGGATACTGGGAGTAGTAAAAAGCAAGGAATGGGACCACTCATCTTTGTCCCGTGGCGAGTTGGTGGTGATGAGTTGGCCCATGGTGAGTTGATCATGGCAAGTTGGCTGTGGCAAGTTATCCTAGACCCTAAAAAGCAAGTGTCTGGAAAATAGCAAAAGAAACAATCTAAAGGGCCAGATTTGAGATAATAGTAGGAGACTATATAGAAGTTCTTCTTACTGGAAGAAAGAAGAAGTAATAATTCTGTCTGAGACTAGGACAGCTTCCTCTTCCATCCAAGGACCAGAGATTCTTTGTTAAGAGAACATTCCATGGGATATCTAATATTTATTTCTTGTAGAATGTTAACAGTATTCCAACATCAAATTCTGCTCGTGCAAGGAAACATTTTTAATTCTGAACTACTTTATAACTTTGCTCCTGCCGGAATTCTGGCGTCTTCCTTCTTATATAGATGTTTTCTTGGTTTTATCTGGGGAGCTGTCCAAGCAGAATATTTGCTTGTTGCCAGCTGGCTTTTGTCCAACTTTTAAAAAAAGCAAAACCTCTTGGATTGCTGATTCAAAAGTTCTAATATCTCAGTTGCTTTTTCTTTGTTTCCTTTGGAATTTCAACTTTGATATAATTAAGACCCACCCTTATGTCATATTATGTTTCTAGTTACTTAATGAGCTACTTCCCTCCATTTAGTCACTATGTGCTTCATTGTAATCTGGGCTGACTGGTTTGCCTTCAAATCCAGTTATGTGGTGTGTAAGCAAAAAAGCATCTTGCAGTGTTACCTCAGGTTTTTCATCATTAATATCAAAGATAGAATTGTATGTATTTTCAGTACCCATTTACCCAACATGCAGAACTCAATATTGAACAATTTTAGAATCATGAAAATTGATTGCAGTGGGATATAAATTCAGCAAATCAATTCCCTGAGCAAACAAGATTTTTTTCCCCCACCAGTAACAGGTCTTTTAAAAATAAATACTGAGCAACTTCAGTTCACTTGTTTTAAATCTAGAAGTATCCATTATCTAGACTGGACTCCCAACCATATCATAATTCCTGATCAAGGACTTCCCTTTTCCCCCCCTCCTTTCTGATCAGAAGGTCTTCGCTTTGGCATCTTATCAACCATGTTGTTTTTGAATAGAAACGGCAACTGCATATAAACAGTGGAAAGGATATATTTAACAGACCTGCCCAAAGTATTCCCTCTCTCTGCATTTGAGTTTTGAGTGTGTGATTTTGCAACAACTTTGGATAATATCTATATTTTTCCCCATATAGGCTGTGGACGATTCTGAACAAGAAAACAATAAAAAGGTGACCCATGAGATATTTTTCATAGCTTCTACATTTTTAATTTTCTGTTTTTAATAAAACTGCTTTGTAAACTGTATTTTTAATGTGCTGCATCATTACCTCTTTATTTGGCTAGTATTAAGGATTCAGTAGCTGTATTGCAGTATCTTTTTTTTTAGAGAATAGAGGAAGTCGTAACACCTGTCCTTACCTACACTCCAACATAAAAGATTCCTGAATGATGGAAGGCCTGCATGAGTTTGGTTTCCCAGCTATATAGATGTCTACATAGACATACAGTAATCAGTCAGTCTGGCTCCCCTTTCATTTATCCATGTTCCCTTCTACTTTCGCATTATTTTTCTTTTCCTTTTCTTTGGCTGGGATTGCATGTGAAATGTTCTTCTGAAAATGCTTCACTTGGATCTCTTTTTTCCCTCATTCCTCTTCTCCATATTTGTCTTCTCGTTCAATATTTTGACTCCTGGGCCTACAGAGTATTTCTTCCCCTCTTTTATGGAGCGGTGCCTGTGTTAAAGAGGCAGTTGAGTTTACAATTCTGGCATCCTTTAACTGGCCTAGCAATAGGCCAGCATTATTGTTCTTGTTTTGTACGAAAACACTGACCTTCCATGGCCTGGATTTGTATTACTTCAAGGGGCATAAAGACATGCAGATACCAGGAGAAATATTTGGAAAAAATATGATATTAAAATGTGAAAGTTGTTTTTTTTTTTCATTGTATATTTCCCCTATCTAGAAGAATACGGGCTGATGAACAGATTTCAGTTTGTTTTATGGGCTTTGATCACTATCTTTTCCCTTGCAATAAAAATATCACATATATGTAATTATTCTTCTGACAGAGGATAAAGTTCTCATTTGTTACTCATTTATTATCTCTGGGCAACTATAAAAATATTCAATAGCAAGTTTATGAAGTTTATTTTTTTGAAAAGATATTTTATTAGGGAAAGGAAGGCAAAATTTTGGACTATTAAAATTGTAATTGGGGGAGGGAGAGTGAATTGGAGACAAAATTGTTGCTGCTTAAAACTATCTTTATCTGAAGAACTTAAGAGGTAGAATTCATCATAGAATATGTCTCTAACATTTATTGTGAAAAAGCTTCCAGATTGTTTCCATCGTTGAATTATGAAATGGGCAAGTTAACAGTTTTTATTGATGATTAAATTTATATAGTTGCCCATCTATATATGCCATGGTTCTGGGCATCTTACAAAATTAAAGTTGTCTATGGAGATTGCCATGTATGTATGTATGTATGTATGTATGTATGTATGTATGTATGTATTGCTGGCTATTAACATTGAGGGATCAGTCAATTGGTTTCAGACATACTGATTCATATGAAGAAATCAATGCCCATCATCTGAGTTTCTCTCATTCCTTGCATGATTAAAAAAAATCATGACAAGTTACATCAGCTCTTGCATATGCAAGTGTATCAACCCTTCCTGGATTATTTCATAACCTGAACATTTCTGCAAATACTTATGCAAACCCCTGTAAGGTTACATTTGCGAGTTGCTAAAATTCTGTGAATCCAACCCTTGTAAGCCGAGATATGAAGGTTGTATATTATATTGTAATATATCTGTAATATAAGCAAGACATTAACACAGCTTCTGTTCTTGCAGTGTCAATATCTTGCTTATACCCATTCTACCCATTGTTCGGAGTTCTGCTATGTAAATCCAGCTATACTTTGGATAAAATGTCCTCTTTCATTATCATAGGAAGCAACAACAATTGTTCTTCAGAATATAGAGTAATATCTTGGGACAGTGAAAGCAGAATCTCCTTTACTATTTTGGTGGTAAAAAGTCTATTACATAGACTTCTTTGGATGCATGCAGGATCTCCGAAATATCTGGAAAATTCTGAGAACTGAAGTCTCTCAGAAGGAGACTTGAAGAAGCTTGTTGAAGAAGGCTGTCTTAGAAGAGCATAGTGCATGTGCCCTTCTATTTCTTTTTGTTCAAGCTGGTGGAAAGTGGAAAGTGGTAGTAGATCATTGTTTCTGCGCTTTTCTATATTCTTCTCCTAATCTGAGGAGAAGGAGGAGGAGAAGAAGAGGATGTGACCACCATTAGATGCCAGGGGTCTTAAAGAATGGGCCAGAAAAGAATGGCCAGCATTCCATATTCTTGGCTGGAAGAAAGCTCTGTCTTATGGGAAGGCATGTGCTTCCCTGGAATATGTGTCCAAGTAGCAATGTCCTGCTGCATAAATACAGGCAAAATTGCAGAGGACATTTCGGTTTAAGCCTGTTTCGATATCTCTGGGGTTTCTTCACTTTTTTTTTCTTCCTGATTAAAATTAAAAGTAGGCTTTGAATCAAATGCTGATCTGCATTTTAAAAATGCGTCATTAGTTAACATTGTCCCTTTCTTCTCCTGAGAGTTATACTCCATCTTTTCCTCCTTTTTGCTTTATTTACCCAATCAAGCATGTCAAGGATGCATAATAATAAATGTTGCCGATAATAAATAAAAAAAATATGTTGCCCTGCATAACAGTATATTTATTTGAACACCCAACCCATATCGTTCTTCATTACAGGTAAACATGTGCATGCACTTACAAAAAAAATAAAGTAGGGTTCTTCTATGCCATTCTCATTCCGAGTGCCTCTTCTTTCCAATCATTCCCACTTGAACCAAGAGAAGCTACCACCAATGGATGTGTTTGTTTCAATATACTTTCAGGGCGTGATAACGGCAGATGATGAACAAGCATGGATGGCTTCTTATAAATATGTAGGTGCCACAACTAATATACACCCGTACTTATCAACATTGATCAACTACGCTCAGCCTGTTAAATTTCAAGGTTTCAGTGTAGCAGAAGGTAACTTTAAAAGATTTTTTAAAAAAATAGGGTTTTTTTTTTTCCTTATTGCCGTACCAGTAGTTATTTTTACAGGTAATCCTCAACGTACGACCCCAATTGAGCCCAAAATTTCTGCTGCTCAAGTGAAACATTTGTTAAGTGAGTTTTGCCCCATTTTACAACCTTCCTTGCCACCGTTGTTAAGTGAATCACCGCAGCTGTTGTGTTAGTAACATGGCTGTTAAGCAAATCTGGCTTCCCCACTGACTTTGCTTGTCAGGAGGTCGCGAAAGGTGACCACATGACCCTGGGACACCACAACCGTCATAAATATGAGTCAGTTGCCAAGCGTCTGAATTTTGATCACGTAACCATGAGGATGCTGCAACGGTCATGTGGAAAAAGTCATGTCACTTTTTCCCATACTGTTGTAACTTCAAACAGTCACTAAATGAACTATTGTAAGTCGAGGGCTACCTGTGTTCTTCCTCATTACTGTATATTATGTGATGCATGGCTTAAGGTAACGTTTCCTAATGTTTAGTGTTATCCTTTCTCCACTTGGGGGCAGCAGATTACAAAGAGAAAATTAACCAGCATTGGCGCCCAACTAAAAGAATTTCCTCGGAACAGATTACTTATTCTTTTGGCTTGACTTCGGTTTTCTCTCTTCCATTAAATGTGGCTATCTGACGTTTATTTGCGATGTTTATTCTTTTTCTGACTTAAAAACATTTTTTTTAAAAAAAAAAATCATGCTATTCTTGAGCTTAATTCATCATTTCTACATCATTTCTCGTCCCAATTAATCTGGCTGTCAGTTCTAGAAGATAAATATTGTTATTCCACATGTATACTTTATGTGGATTTCTGTAATTTCTTTGTTGGGCATATCTTATCCTGAAGTTCAGTTTCATTTTTGTAATAAATATATATTTTTAAAAATGTAATATTTTAATACTCCCCTAACCAATTTTTCATTCTGAAAATTTTACAAAACAGATTTTATGGTTTTCTTTCTAGAACGCAACATTCACTACAACATGTCCTCTTTTAATGAGTCTGTCGGGTTGGGTTATTTAAAGACCCATGCAATTGAATTTGTGAAGTATCCTTTCACTGAGGCAGCTATAACGAGGCTCTTTAATCTTACGAAACAAGGAGGTAACTGCAACTAACAACACACGTTATTTTAATAAAACACAGTATAGTATGTACTTTGTGAAAAATGCCTCATGAATTAAAACATTTAAAAATTAAGATGTGAAGATGGGATCATTCTACCTCTTGGTTGCTTGGTTATTCCAATTTTCTTGACTAATAATACAGCTACAATAAACGGCAAATGAGTCGGATATACCCAAAGGGAGGCAGAGTGGATTCCAGCAATTACATGCCTCAAATTTTCTGGAACGCTGGATGCCAGATGGTCTCCCTTAACTATCAGACCCCAGGTAAGCAGACCTACCCACCGACTCTCAATCTCAGAGAATGACAGCTTGAGTAGGAGCTTTCTGCCAGATGCTGTGATTTTTGCTCCTGGCATTGCTGGAGGATTCATTCACATGGTTAAATATAACAATATAAATCCAGCTAGGCAGACAATTAGATTGAAAAAATTAAAACATATATGCACTATTTTTTGCATGTCTTCATACATCAACATAAAACTGTACAACAGATGATAGAGATAGAGATAGAGATAGATAGATAGATAGATAGATAGATAGATAGATAGATAGATAGATAGATAGATAATAGATAGATAGATAGATGGATAGATACAGTGGATGGATGGATGGTGGATGGATGGATGGATGATGATGGATAGATGACATTTCTAGGAATAATTTCTGAGTAAAAATATAAGGGACAATACCAGGAACTACAATTAAAACGTTGTTGTGTTATGTTGAGCCAGAAAACTTGTTTCTTTTCTTTCTATTGAGTGAAATAGAAAGTGGGGAAGCCAGTTGCTTCTCCACAAAGCAGAAATTATCACATTAATAGGTGTCACTTTTTTTGAGTTAAAGGTGTGCTGTTTCTTGTTGTTTGCCATGATGGGCAATAGAAAATACATCCTCGTGACTTGGTTCCACCAAAACATCAATGGGTTGATATTTAGAATCCACTGAAGAATCAGCAAAGTAACCATGTTAACTATCACCATATGGAAGATGGCTTGAGGTCTATCAGGTTCTATCACTGAACAATATAGCTCCTTATTCTTATTGGAAACATGTAGGGATTGCTAACCCAATATTGTAGTCCATTTTGACCAACCATGTCCACTATTGACCATTGTCCTAATCCAGGGGTGGGACATTGTGGCTCTTCTATAACCTGTGGACTTCAACTCCCAGAATTCCTGAGACAGCCAAGCTGTCTCAGGAATTCTGGGAGTTGAAGTCCACAGGTTGTAAAAGAGCCACAATTGCCCACCCCTGGACTAGTCTATAAGACATTACTGTTCTCTTAACAAACCCGTACCTTCAGAATGGAGAGATAGATATGATAGAAAAGGGGATGCAGTCTTTTAATTACACCCTTTTACACCCTATTTCATGAACAACTGAAAGAACAGGAACTTATGATGAATATATTTTTCTACTGAAGTAGAAAACATATTCTTTATTTTCAAGGAATGCGTGGGATTAGCATTTTAACTAAACTGGCTATCCAGGATAAATTGTATTTTTTAGTTTAAAAAAACTATCCAAATAGGTATTGCTCAGTAATAAGATTTAAACTATTTTTACCTCTTCACAGATCTAGCAATGCAGTTGAATCAGGGGAAATTTGAGTATAACGGGTCTTGTGGGTAAGTAACAATATTTAATACCTGCCATTATATAGAACAATGTCACTTTTAATTATGTGCTGTAAATGAAAAACAGGCCGTAGAAATTCAGCCTGATTCTTTTATGAAGAATCAGGCTCCCCTTCTGTCTCTGAAGGAGAGGAGAGGGGGAGGAGCAAGAGAGGAACCACAATTTGGAAATAAAGGGGTAAGGTACCTTTCAAAAGAAATACAAGATGTAATATAACTTTGCCCTTTGTATCTTTTGGAAAGGGATCCCAAGCCTGAAATATAACTAAGTGGGAAGGACAGAAGAGTTCATGCCAATAATTCTGAGTTTTTAATGTAACATTCTTGAAATATATAACTTAGTTCCCAAATTGTGTGCTAATTTCTTTACTGATTAATTTAAAAAATGCCCCACCTGTAAATTAACGAAGGCAACATAGAACCTTCCAGATTACTTGGAAGTTTATCAGAACTTCTCCGAGAGTGATACGGCTGCTCTCTAAATTTCAAAAATAATTATGAATAATTAAATAGGTTTCTTCATTGCCTCATTGCAAATTCTGTGTATATCACTTTGTGGGTGTACATTCTTTTTTCCAAAAGGAGAGATTGTGCATCTTTATATATGGAAGAATTGGAAAAAACTGTGAATTTGTGAAGAACTATGGAAATGAACTGTGAATTGGGACTCATATTCTTGACATGAGACTTTCCCACTGAGTTTAGTATATATACAACAAATGCATTTTATACATTGTGGGAAGAAAAGGGAGGAAGGAAAAAGGAAAAGAATAACTGTAAACTAACTAGACCAGAAACTAGAACTTATACTGGAACACAATCCCCGTGAATATTAAGGAATTACCTTTGTTTCCTTTTGATGTAGCAGCTGGTGTTTTGTTGTTGTTGTTTTGTCATTTGCTGTACAACAGAATTCCACAATCAGAAGTTTGCATTGAATTTTTGAATCAGAGCAGGGCAGGTTAGAATCATCCATCTTGTCCAGACTAAAGAAAAAATAAGGCCTTGGTCAAAATGGCGAGGGTTCATTTCCACCAAGTCTTTGCGTCCCAAAAGACATTGGGTTTGTGATTATCATTGTCACAATCACAAATGTGGTTGTCAAAGTGATCATCATTGTCATAGTGAATAGAATTTTCACTGAGTTAGAGTTCTCATCACCACAAAAGACACATTTGGTAGTTCCGGTGGCTGGAAAAAGTTTTACTGCATACTTCTTTTCATGTCATAAAAGGGAGGAAAATAGATTCTAGTTTTAAAATTCTCTAGCCTGGGAAATAGCCACAGATGACTTATATTGACTTATATTTCACCAAATGATATGCAGCAGGAAAAATAGATACCATATTGAAGTGGTTAAATTATTCAGCCAAACGTTGAGTTGAAAATCTTGTCATATGCTTATTTAGTTACCTATATTAACGTAAGTTTCCATGTGTAAGTTGATTTAAAAATTTCTTAAAGGAAATGTTTCAGATGGGTTGAATGCATGTGATGTATTATCTCATTCTGATTACTGTAGGGGTTTTTTTCACCGTTCAGTGAGTAAAGTCTAGATTTTTCTATCTTGAATATACATTCCAAAAACAATACTTTTCCATGCTTATTTATTTTCAGTTGATTATATGCTTTCTACGCATAACTTGTAAAGTAACTAATAACAATAATCGCATTTAATTTAAAAGGGATTAAAAGGAAAGTTTTATCTAAATGTGTGTTTTGATTTTTTTTTTTTAAGTTATCTTCTTAAACCAGATTTCATGCGGCGGCCTGATCGGACATTTGACCCTTTTTCTGAGACTCCTGTGGATGGTGTTATTGCAGCAACTTGTTCTGTGCAGGTAGGAAGCATCTAGAGCTATGCAGCCTAGAAAAGGGAATGTTTGAAATATGCTACTTCAGATGCCTGAAGCTGTTTTAACATATAAAGTAAGGACTACAGGTCATAAATGATTGAAATAATATGAGATGTTTTATATATATATATAAGAATAACACTAAACATTGATTATACACTTGAATGTATTAAATTTCTCATTGGACTGAACATTTTTATGCTTCCATTTCAAGGTCATATCTGGTCAGTTTTTATCAGACAAAAAAATTGGCACTTACGTAGAGGTGGATATGTATGGCCTTCCCACTGACACGATACGTAAGGAATTCCGAACACGGATGGTGATGAACAATGGCTTAAATCCTGTTTACAACGAAGAATGCTTTGTGTTCCGAAAGGTATGTATTTCAGATGCTTGAGAATGCCTTTGAGTTTTTATGAATAACACTTTGCCTCAACACTTTTCCTGAACAAGAAACCTTTAGGAAAATATCCACCAATCTGATGTCCCCTCAACAGCGTTGAGTAGAACACTCCCCAAATGCTCAGCTAAAATCTCAATTCTAGGCATTGCAGGCACATCACTTCAGTGAAACAATGATTTGGGAAAGGCTGATTTAGGAGACCAGGTCTTGCTAGCGCTTTCCCTTCATCCACCATGATACACTTTTTGTCATGGGATAGAGTTAACTAAATCTGGATTTTTTTTTTAAAGGGAAACACTTATAGCTATCACATGATTTTTATTTTTCTGTTTGGCTTTTCCCTCTTCTTGCTTCCTCCTCCTCCTCTTCTTCCTCCCTCTTGGAGGAACAGCCTCGTTCGTGGCTATGGCTATGCCTGTGTTCCAGGTATGCAGTCTGCTCAGAATGAGCTCCGGCTGGGGAACCTCTGCCTTCCTTGGAGATTACAACTTCTTCCCTGCCCTGGCAGTGGCTGCTATCTTGCACTGTTCCTTCAGCCAAGAGGGCAGGTGAGACCCTGCATCCAAAGCTAAGGTCAATGTCATTACATGGATTCAGTCAGGGGGTGCTGCCTCCGTGTCTGAGGCTGGCTCCCTCGTCCTGTCTACGTCGTGTATATTTCTTCTCTTTTCCACCACAAGCTTTCTAGACACCATTTGGAGAAAAGTAGTCTTTTTTAAAAAAAAATGCTTCTGGGGGTGAGTTTACTTGTGCCATTTTACAAAACAGTCCCATCACCATAGTTGCAAGGGGCAGTGTTTTCTTGCATATTCTTAGTCTGGCTTTAAGTCTGCACCAGAACAAAGTGGTACAGTGAACATTTTGGCTTATGTGAAAATGACAAAATCCTGTGTTTGGAATCATGAATACGGGACTTGAAAATATTATTAGCCCTGTACTGATCTGTGGTGCAGCCAAATTTGGAAATCATGCACCAGTCTGAATATTAGAGATCCAAAAGGGCTACCCAAATGACAATGGAGACTCTTTCCCTCTGAAGACAGCTTTGGGGAGGTTTTAAAGGTTAGAAACAAGGCAAGTCAGAGGTGACAGATTTGCAGAATTATGCCTGGTGCAGAGAAAATGGTCAGAGATGTTTTTCTCTTTACTCAGATGACCACTAGGGTCATCTAATGATAACACATGATAGGAGATTCATAAGAAATACGGGACTTTTCTATGCAATGCTTAATTAAACTCTAACCTGTTATCATAAGATGTCGTAAATGCCAATAAATTGAACAGCTTTAAAAGGAAATTAAGCAAAATTCATGGAGGACAAAGCTACTGACAGCTAGCAACCATGAGGCCTGTATATTATTGATAGCGATGCAGGCAGTAAGCCTCTCAATATCATTTGCAGTCTTCTGGTTTCCCCATAGATTTTAACAGTTCAACAATATTGAACTAGAGAGAATTTGGGGCTTCTCTTAATTTTCTTTCCTATAAGGCATGTATACACTTTCTGTACCACTTTGTGATAAAATTGGATATTACTTTTGTAGAAGAGCTTTTTGCAAATGAAAATAATTTGTCTAATCTTGTTATTAACCCAGCAAGGGATTTTTTCTTTAATAAGGGGACTTTTCAAATGTGTATCTTCTATGCAAGCATGCAAATCTCATTTCATTCTGAAGAAATGCCAAGTTCAGTAAAACACGGTTAAGCTGCACTATGGTTAAACTGTACCATGTTGCTTGCACGTACATAATCATTAGCCCCTGAAATTACGTATAAAGATTTGTCAAAATGCACATGCAGATTCACTCTTAAGGGCAATCTCTGGTGTCTGTATTTTTTTCTATACCATTCTACTTTAATTTTTTTTTTTTTGTCAACTAAAGTTTATCCAGAAGTGTGTACGTTAATGGTGCCGTCATGACAGTGTCTTCTATCCTTTTACCTGTTCTGTTGTCTAGAATGCAGAACAATTGCCTGCTTTTTTTTCTTTGTGATGTACATTTCTGGCTAGTATCATGCCTATTTTAGTTATGATTGGGGGACAAATATAAAGCATCATAGTAGCATGACCCAAGTTTTATGCAACCGATACATAACCTAATAACATTTGAAATATATCAGAAAAATTGCACAGCTCAAAGCCTTCATATTAGGAGAATTGTGTAATACGGTCAAGTTAGGATTGATTGTTTGTTAATTACTTAGCATGAATCTCATGCAAAAACTTAGCAGGTGCAGGTAGTCCTGGATTTACAACAATTCATTTAGTGACTGTTCAAAGTTACCACATCACTGAAAAAGGTGACTTACAACCATTTTTCACAGTTACAACTGTTGCAGCATCCCCGTGATCACATGATCAAAATGCCACCGCTTGGCTACTGGTTCATATTTATGACCATTGCAGAGTCCTGGGGTCATGTGATCCACCACATGTGACCTTCTGACAAGCAAAGTCAATGGGGAAATCAGACTCACTTATCAGCTGCAGTGATTCACTTAACAACTGTGGCAAAAAAGGTCATAAAATGAGACAAAATTCACTTAACAACTGTCTCACTTAGCAACATAGATTTTGGGCTCAATTGTGATCATAAGTCCAGGACCACCTATAATGTGTAAATTGTGTTTTATTGTCCACCTATTTTTTTTTTACAAAAAATAAAACTACTGCTGTCGTAATACATATTCTGTGTCGTTATTCTTCTGTGAGCTATTACTCAGTTGTGATATGATATTTTAGTATTTATGTTGGGTCAGTCTTGAGCTATACTTAACTATGCATGCTAGTTGGTATATTTCCTATTAATTGCCAAATAATAGCCTAGTCCTCTGAGGCTTTTTGTAATTGCAGAATTCAAAAATTAGACAAGGCTACCTAAATACCATTGAATCTTTCCTTTAACAGGCAGCCAAGAGAAGGGATTGCTTATATTTTGGAAATGTATATATCAAAAAAATAAAAGGTGAATAACTTAAAGTATAGAAAATAGCAGCTCCTAAGGAAAAATGCTTTAAAGAGCCTTATGATACAGAATATTTTAATATAGCATTTAATATACATATCCTTAGAAATCTTTTTAATCCTTTTAAGGTATTTTACTTGCAATTTGAGATTATTATCACATACAGTCTTGGCAGAAGCTACTGCCAATTTTTCCTCATTCAGATAATTTTGCATTTGCTCTAACTAAACTAACAAAGTATTTTGAGATGTCTCATTCTTGCTATGGAATGATGCCTGAAGGGACCAAGCTATGATACAATGCCAGCACTAATTATTTGCATTAGCTAAGGAAAAAAATGATTTTCTTGTGTTCCATCAATGGAATCCTGGTGTTACAATGCATTAAGCAATGGTCTTTTTTTATTTCTCATAATTTGTTCGGCAAGAAAGCAATGATTCTGTTAGTAGAATCTATGGGACAAAAGAAGATTAACTTGTTTGCATTGTCCCCTGCAATTTGAGAAGTAGAAAAGACCTATATCCACTTACAATCAGCATTGGTGCAACTTGGATAAATGCTGTGAAACTCCATGCTACCTTTTATAAAATCACATACAGATGAGCACTTTTTGCTGTTAGTTTCGGTGAAGTCACACAATGTGGTGGTAGAGAGCTATTTAAAAAGAAATTCCTCCTAAAGTTTCCTCCTTATTTGAAAACAAAAGTTGGGGATCACTTTTCTTTATAACCTTGTTTATCTTAATCTTTTTTTGGGGGGGATTAGAGAGTTTAGAACGTTGGGTGTAAACATTTGGGGAGGAAAGTAGGATTGTAATTCTATTATGATTAAAAAATGCTAGCCTTTAGTATAGTACTATGAGGAGCTTTAAACATTGTTTTTCCACTAATAGCATGGTAAGCCTGAGTCTCCCTGAGAGTAGGTAGCTAAATTTGATAAATAAGTAAATTCCAGTTCTTCATGTGGGCAATATTTGATTGCCCAATGTTAGAAACATTGTCCCTCATGGGAACTTTGGAGCTCCCTGAGCTTGAGTGTTGGCTTGCAGACTTTTTATTACCCGACTAGGTAACTTCAGCAGTGCTAGTGAGTGTGTAATTTGCTCCCTATGCACGTGCAGTAGCTTGTCCTGCCATTGTTAGTGGAGGTGTGGTTTTCTGCTTGGCAGTTACTTGATTAGGGTATTTCTGTTTGATCATTTAGCAATAGCAATAGCAATAGCACTTAGACTTACTGTATATGCCGCTTCACAGTGTTTTACAGCCTTCTCTAAGTGATTTTACAGAGTCAGCATATTGCCCCCAATAATCTGTATTCTCATTTTACCAACCTCGGAAGGATGGAAGGCTGAGACAAACTTGAGCCTGGTGAAATTCGAACTGCTAAACTGCAGGCAAACAGTAGTCAGAGAAGTAACTTGCAGTACTGTATTTTGCGCCACCACGGCCCCCTACCTGGTATTATTCCCTGCTTATCTGCATATTGGCTGCTAGAGAATATATTCTGGTCTTTGTGTTTCCTCCTGCTACTATATAAATAAGGAGCAAACCCGAGACCCTTCGTGCTGTTATATTACTTAGTTGGGTATAAAATGTCTGCAAGCTAACAACCAAGTTCAGAGAGCACCAAGGACTCCATAGTTCAACCTTGAATTATACATATTCTCTTCTATTGGAACATTATCTCTTTCCTGCATGAGAATCCTTCAGACTTTATTTGCCTGCTAAGGTGATATAAGAAAAAAAAAATGTTTTTGGCCATCGAAGATTATATTTCTGTGCATGACACAGATGAATTGCATAGCTAGTAAAAATGTAGATATTTTGGAATGGGAACCTCTTTGGAGAAAGCAACTCTGTGCTACTAAAATAGTACTGAGTAACCTCCATCCTTTGAAGATTCATTTATTCTAATCACTTGCTATTAATTTTTATTCTTCTAAATTTCTGGAGTTTTCATTTTTAGAAAGAAAAATAACAGAATTAAATAACGTTGATTGGCTATTTTTAGAGGCAGAAATCAATATCCACTACTAATATATTCTGTGTAACAACACATAGTGCCACCTAAGACATCGTTCAAGAAAGCCTAATAATATTGTAAATATGTAATCAAACATCCCTTTGAGGCAACCTGGTTCCAGATGGGATTTCTTCCAACGATTACAAGGCAGGAATGTGCTGTCTGATGAGCCTGAATAACCACCTTTATTCTGGGGTTTCTTAGGTGATTCTACCAGATCTTGCAGTCTTGAGGATAGCAGTTTATGACGACAATAATAAGTTGATTGGTCAAAGGATATTGCCGCTGGATGGGCTTCAGGCAGGCTATCGACACATTTCCCTTCGAAATGAAGGCAACAAGCCATTGTCTCTGCCAACGGTTTTCTGCAACATTGTACTTAAAACTTATGTGCCTGATGGTTTTGGAGGTAAATGCTTAAATCATATATTTTATTTGGAGAGAATTAATCAGGAAGGATTATGGACATTTTACAGCACAATTCATAAATCATAATAATAAATCATAAATCATAATGGTGCATAAGACCACCAGCGTGCCTACTGTCCCTGTTTTAATGTTTCCTCTACTTGTATCTATTTTATGTATTCAATTCATGCTTATACTTATATGTATTACCTATTAAGTTCTTGACAAATAAATAAAATAAACTAGGCCCTATCAATTTTCAGCCCACTTTTTATGCCTTTCAGCCAGGCTGACAAAAATGGATAATGCATTCCCACCTATTGAAGTGGGAAGCTCACAGAAACTTTATGCAAGTATTAAAATAAGCTTAACATGTTTTAAAAATTCATACTCATGCACACCCTCTGTCATCCTCCCCAACTTTCCAGCAGAGTATCTTAGCTCAGCCTAAAATACGATGTAGTTCCATCTGCTTTATATTTTTCCTGCAGTTACTGTAGCTCTTGCCCCCACAAAGATAATTACCTAACCATCCAAGAATCTTGAATATTTCTTAGGCATGTGCTGAAAATAATGGGAAAAGTTTGCAATGAATCTGGGAACTTATCACATTTTTTCCCCAGTTCCATTGAAATGAGTGCAGGTTAAGCCTTTTTAGTAGATTGAAGTTGGAAATGAAAGATGGGTCTCTGAAAGTGCCCTTTCTAAGAGGCATGCTTCCCATTAGTTTTTTGGCATGTGGGACTGTTTTTGCCTATATTGCTATTTTGCTATTTGTTTGAGATGGGTGGCCATACAAATTGATTGATTGATTGAATGAATGAATGAATGATGCTTCTAAGCTAAGGAATGCATTCCTTTGAAAGTTACAATTGGTCCCAATTTGATATGCTATTGGAAAGATTATCATTATCAGATGGCATTAAGACAACTGATAAAATCCTGTTTGGTGATCTTCAGGGCTTCCCATATTTCATTAAACCAAGGAAAGACATATCCTGGCTTTTTTTTTTTAAGTAATGATATGAATGTCACCAATATAGGGAACTCGTGTCCTTGAAAAATTGTTGGGGAATTTTTCATCCCTCTGGAAAAATGAAAATGAATGGTCTATCCCTTTCTCTGACCCTCAAACATTTTTTAAAATTTCATTCTTTCTCCAAGTCCAAAGATCCAGAATAGGTTAGTATAATAGCCATCAAGGCTAAGTTTGAAAACACTCATTTGACCTTGTCTCTTACTAACGGTGAACTTAATGAGGAAAAAGAAATCTCTACCCCATCTCCCCTATGCCTAATTCTTCAAGGTAGCTATTTTAGCAAGCAAAGTGCAAAGGGGGAGGGGTTTCCAGATGTTTTGGTTGGACAACAACACAATGGGATGATATTAAACAGAATGGAGCCTCTTCTGCCCCCAATAAAATCCAAATAGTTTTGTTTTACTTCTATCTATAACGTTGTGATTGTATGTATTGAAGTAAGATTTGAATAGTCTGTAAAATATTGAGTATATTTCTGGAATTATTGCAAAATGGTACACGCATTTGTAGTAAGAGGTTTTGTGTGAAGTTGTTGTGACTATTATTTTTTGGGAAATGAGAATATTTTACAAAGCCACTAGAGATGAAACGTCAGAGGGAGGTCCAGTAAAGTACATAATTCCCTGATAAATATGGCAATGTAGGGAAAAGCATTGCTTTATCATGCAAAGGCAATGTTTGGTCTTTCCACATATGAAAAAAGCACGGTTTGGGGGAGGTGTACATGTATGCTCTCACACATACATTCACATGCACACACATAAACATGTATATATAGTAGTGCTCGGAACAAAATCTTGCCTCTCTAGCATAAAAAAAGAGCTATGTGTGTGCATGCATGTACAATCACATTACTTTTTTCATACTTTTTCTCTTAAGCTGATGGAACCTGTTACAGGCCTTATGCTTCTGCATCTCTTAAATTTATGAAGACTTCCCATTTTATCACTTCTCACGATTAGGGAGACAGTAATGCATGATAAAATTAAGCAGAGCCGTTGGTAGGAATTATGTGACGGGCTTTAAAGGGATTTGAAGTTGAAAATATCTTGACTACTTATTTAAATTCTTTTTTAGATATTGTGGATGCCTTGTCAGATCCAAAGAAATTTTTATCTGTCATGGAGAAAAGAGCAGACCAGATGAGAGCTATGGGAATTGAAACGGTAAGGAGTAATTAACCTTGGATATGGAATTGATTTGCATTTTTTTTTCCAGGAGCCTCTTTTAGCAGAATATTTAAAAGATTAGAATGACAGACAACATTGGTTGACTTTTTTGTGCCTTCGCCATGGCTAAAATTAAACATTATTTATATTATCAGGAGTGTAGAAGGTAAGTTTCAAAGAAGATGGCTGGAGGCAAAATTCTGATTCTCTTCCTCTAATCTAGTTTATGCCATTGTGTCCCAGCAATACCACTTTGGATTCTACATAGACGGGAGAGACTTTGCATAAGAGATGCAAATTTAAATCAGGACTCAGAACAAGTTAAGGGTTATAGCAGAGTTTTTTAGCTTTCCAGGACACATCTCAATGTAGCAATTTGGGAACTACCACCACTACCACCAAACCCCTCAATCAGATGTGAGACAGTTCACCTTCATAGAATTCATGCTTTCAGATGTTCAGAACAAACACAGTTTGCTCTTACACATTACAAGCATGAACTGATAAGGCGCTTATAATCTGTCCTCCATAGAACCTTCATCTGCATTATTACCATGTCTTCCCTCTCACTACTCCTCTGCATCCCTATGTAATTTAATCCTATTTCAGTCACGCCACTCTGATGAAGGGAGCTGCTGTGCACAAAAGCTTGTGTCTTAAAATAAAAATAGTTTTCAAAAATGCTACCAAATAATTTCCAATCTCTTCGTCTGCAGTCATTTAGGATGTTGGAGCCCTTTGTTGGGTACCTGATGCTTTATTGATGATCAGATATGTCATTACTGTTTTATGCTTTTTGTTTTACATATGTATTTATTGTTTTGCTTTTGTACTGTCACTCAACAGTACAAACCACCCAAGTCAGTTGGAATTGGGACGCATCTAGGTCTAAATAAATAAATAAATAAATAAATAAATAAATAAATAAATAAATAAATAAATAAATAAATAAATAAATAAATAAATAAATAAATAAATAAATAAGTAAGTTTTGCCTCTTAAGATGAAATGGTAAGTTTGTGATTCAGGGTTTAGACTAAAAAACATCTGCTTGTAAACAGTCTAGAAAACCCATTATGACCCCAAAGTCCTCACAAAACTGTACCACCAAAATTGGCAGCAAATTTCAATATGCTTTTCCAAGAAGAAATTAAGCACAGCAAACATATTAAGTCACTAAGAGGCTTAACATGCTAATAGCAATATATTCAACCCTTCACCAAAACTGAGTTCATTGCATTGCTACCATGACCATGGCTGCCAAAATGTTAACTTAGAAGTAGTTAAGCCACTAAATATAAAAAGTTGCCTATCTCTGTGCTAAGCAATATGAGTCATTTCAGACTCTTTGAATATTAAGTCCATAAGCTTTTGAATTAAAATGGAAAGCATGCTAATAATAAATGTGAACAAGGAAAATGTTATTGCTGGCTGGCCTTTTTCAGGTTTCCATTCCCTCTACACACACAGAGAGAGAGAGGGGGGGAGAGACACACAGACACACACAGAGACACAGGCACACACTCTAATCATATTTAATTAGTAGTTATGCACAATCTTGGTTTTTCAACATTCCTTTAAGACAGATTGGGAGGGGGTGTTGCTACATAGGCAATACTAATTTTAAGTTCATGAGGACCCCATTCAAGCTCCTGAGAATTCTATTAATTTATATAATATTACACCACGAACTTTAGGAACAGACATACATGCGCTACCACATAATAAAAGATTTTGCCCGGCTGTTCCTCTGATTAGTCTCTTTTGATTCTAATTGCTGTTTTACCTTTCCAAGTTGTGCTTTTGGGACTTCTTGCATCCTGCCCTTTGGCACTTGATTTAGACCTCAGTTTCTTTGACTGCTTGCAATTTTTCATACTGGCCCTTCCAGATTTGCCCATGGTATCCTTTTTAAAAGGCCTTATTTTTTACAGAGTGACATAGCTGATGTTCCAAATGACACGTCAAAGAACGATAAGAAGGGGAAAATTAATAATGCTAAAGCAAATGTTACTCCTCAAACTAGCTCTGAAGTCAGATCAAATCCCATTTCCAATACAGGACCTGGTACCGAAATTAAGAAAGGTAAGCAAACATCTAGAAGACTACTACTGCATTCGGATTACTCGCTATATCATATTTTCCTGATTGATAGTCAGAGTATCTATGAAGCGTTAAGGGAAAATATTTATCCTCTTTTGTAATAATCTGGATATCTTTTCAGCAAGGGTATATAATTCAATAAAGTGACATTGAAGTAAGTAACAATCCTGAAAATATGCTCATTCTCTTGTTTTTCCTCTCTATTTTTTAAGGTATAGACCTTATTCCTCAAATCAAGATAGAAGATTTAAAACAGATGAAGGTAAATCTATGCTTCAGTTTAGCAGTCTCTTGTTTGAGAATGACTTGTTTTCTGATGTTTTCCTTTGCGGTTGAAAATCCAAATGTCCTTATTAAATAATTAATTAAGAATAAAATTTCATTTTTCTTGGCCTTTAATCCATTAAGGTTTTCATTTTACTCTAGGGAAGCCTTTTAAACTGTATGGAAGTAGTGGTTAAGAGCTGTTAGGATCTGGTGCCTGACACTTTGCTTTTCTCCCACATTATGGAGCGTATTCTAAAATGACTGTAAAATAGCAAGGGAGAAAAGAACAGTTTCCATTATCATTAAGTCTGAGCGCACAGGAATTTATATGAAATCTCTGCACATTACTCAAAGATGGCAACCTGATTTTTAAACCTCTTAAAAGTTGTATTGAGTTTTGATTTGATTTCCACATCATTCAAAGCTATAATGTGATTTCTTGGTTTTGGTTTCTTTCTTTGTTCATTTATTTATTTAATTTATATGCTGCCCATCTTACTGTCCCGAGTGTGTGATTGAACACTTTCTGAAAATCTAGCCATTGTGGCTTAACTAAATCATGTTTTCAAAAATTTTGGCTTTACACATTGTGCAGAGTCAATTTTGAAATCAAGACAGCTGTTTTCAAGCCTTTCTGATTTAGCTGTTTTTAAAACAATTTTTTTTATGGGGAACAGGCATATATAAAACATTTGAAAAAACAGCAGAAAGAGCTGACTGCTTTGAAGAAGAGGCATGCCAAGGTAGGGTATCTTTTGCTTTCTCTCTTCAGAGCTGGGGTACTTAAAATTTAAAATGGAGTATGAGTCTTTGCAAAAGCATATATTAAAATAATGTATGCCATTGGTTCTTAAATATGTTTCTGTTTTCATAGATAGCATCACTCTATGGAACATTACTCTGTTCTCCAGAAAAAAATTAAGAAGCAGTACATGACTTCTATTTCTCTGACCCTTAGGCTAGGCTAGTGATGATTAGATATTTGACCAAAAATATTTGATTTGTAATTACATAACTTGAGAGAGACCAACAGTAGCCTAGTGCAAAAGGCATGCATAACATTTCAAAAGTTCTGAATCAGGAATTCATTTCGAATACAAGCACTGACAGTATATGTGTGTAACTCTTCAGCATCCATTAGCCCAGAGTAAAAAATATTTTGTTCTTCCTTTTTCAAAAAAGAATTAGAAATTTTAAAATTTGCCTAGGAATATCAGGATGCTTTCTAGAGATATGAAATGAGGGGGAGGGACCATTTTGCTCCAAACTCAGCATTAAAAAGTCCTATTGTGAACATTCTTATAGCACCCCATATTCCAATTCAATAATCAATCTGTTTTAAGGATTTTGCAGTTGGGAATTTGAGACCTATCCTGCCTTCCCTTATTTTTCATCTTAGAAACACAGAAGTAGCTGGATTAACAGTCCACTCTGGGAGCTGTCTATCATTTACTTGGGTGAAGATATCTATTTTTTAAAAAAATTAAAAACATTTTAAAATCCCTAGGGTGGGCAATGAAAGCATCCTTTAACTAACGTTCAGCAGCTTAGTTTGCTGCCACTACTACCTAGAGCACTGAACTCCACAAATAAACAGGAGCAGTGGATTAATTCTTTGCACTGCTCATGGCCAATATAAATATACTTCTCTGCCTACAAAATTCCCCCGGCTATTGCATTTGCATTTTGAAAGCCCAACCCCATAGCAGCACAGGTACTCTTTGCTTAACAGCCATAAGTGCTACTAGAATTTTCATTGCTAAATGAAGCAGTCATTAGGTGAAACATTACGTGTCCACACCATGTACCAACAGCACTTTTGGTAGTCCTGGTGTGCAGTTGTTAGGCCAGGCCAGGACTGCACTGTCATTAGGTGAGGACCTCACACTTCTCCTACCCTGCTCTGCTCACCTACATTTCAGCTCCTCCACATTTTAGCCTTTTCGACCACACTGCACTATGTTGTCCCTGCTGCCCAGGGAACACTAAAAGCTATATTGAAAGCAAAATGTAATAAATAAATAATATATATATATATGGGCTACATGTATATTATCCTGTTTGAAACTTACATACAGCATTTTGTTTCAATCTAGAAGAAGTAAAAATGGGCATTCCAACCTTTGAATATTTCGTACATTGTTGGTGCTTCAAATCAGAATACATGCATACATATATATATATATGGAGAGAGGGAGGGAGGGAGGGAGAAAGAGAGAGAATTCATTCCCTTCTAGCTGGGTTCTTTTCAGTATCCCTTTTCAGTTCCATCCTATGTGTGTTTATTCAAGATTATGGGACAAATAGTTGGACAGGGTCTATGACAATTTGCTACGGCTAACTCACCATGACCAACTTACCATGGCCAACTCTCTGTGGGACAACTTGCCACGGCCACCTAGCTACAGGACAACTCACGGCGGGACAAGAGTTACACTAATATCAAAGAAATGGTGGAAGAGAATCATTAAAGAAAGGATGCAAAAGGAGGGACAGAATGACATGTGAACGACAAAAATAAAAATATTTTTTTATTTATCTTAAATAATTAAATAGAATTGTTAAATTGTCCCGCAGCGAGTTGTCCCATGGTGAGTTGGGCTGTGGCAAGTTGGCCCATTCCTAGTTTGACATATTGATACCATTGTCCAGCAATGTTTAAATTTCTGAAATGTCAAAGGAAGGTATAAAGAGGTTTTATTGGAACGATGTTTCATTTCCCAGGCAATAAAAACAATTTAGGAGTTGAAAAAAGAAAAACACTTGTTTTGCATTTACTATTTACACAATAGCCTTGGTTGCTTAGCAACTGTTGTGAATTCTGAAAGGTGCAACTACCTGGACAGAGGAAGAGAAAGAAGGGAAGCTATGCCAAGGCAATTAGGGAAAGGAGTTGCTTCGGATAACAGTCCCATTCAGGAGACTTTGCTGATTTAGGAGCATGATAGAATAAAAAGATGCTTGTGCCATTTTGAAATCTTTTAAAAGATGCTATAGTGAGGGTTTGGGGGATTTTGTTTTTCTTTCTCTGTCCTCTTCTGCTAAAACACAAATATCTAAATTCTTTGATATGCAGACTGTAGCCTAATATGCCTTTTTTTCCCCCTCCACTGCAGGAGCACAGTGTCATGCAGAAATTACACTGCACACAAGTTGACAAAATGGTAGCCCAGTATGACAAAGAGAAGCTATCTTATGAGAAACTCCTTGAGAAGGCGATCAAGAAAAAAGGGTATGGCCTTGTTTAAAAAGCAACATTTTTTGACAGCAGGAAAGAAAAATTTAGTTCCATTCTTAATACCCCAAGAGACAGATCAAAGTACCCTTGCACTTGAGACATGTCATTCTAAGTGCGAGAATCCCCAAGGAAGGCTTGTGTATTCGGTTCAGATTAAGAGATTTAAAAATGACACATTCTTTTAAGGGGAAAAATGGGGGGGGGGGAATTAATAATTAATAGTAATCTACAAAATCATTACACTGACCTCAATGGAATATTTAGATCCTCATCACATGAAAGCTAACAAAAGACCCAAGTTAGTCATAATAAAAGCTGGTACATATTTGCTCATATGTCTGTTTTCCTCATATCTCATCAGGTGTATTTTGGTTCTGAATATATATATCAGTGATGGCGAACCTTTTTGGCATTGCGTGCCAAAAGTCTGAGCGAGCGAGCGCTGTTGCGCTCCCACTTGCCGGAACCCATAATGCAATGCACGCTCCCATTTACACATGTGTGCACGACACCCCCCACGCTCCCTCTACACATGCGCCCACACTGAGCATGTGTGCCCCCCCAATGCGCCCCCCCACTTTTTCCAAGTGGGCCGGCATACTCATAGGCATTCTCATCCAGGAAGCTTCTTTAGTTCTGAAAGTCCAGTTGCCTTTTAGAAAAAGCAACTTTGGGATTCCCTGCTGAGTAACCTATCTCTTCAAAATTCATTGAGAAACACGGTTCTATAATCTGGACTAACGGGAAAAAGTGAGAAAGACGTAAATAGCCATTTGTCCTGGGCAGATTGTCATTTTTCTTTCTTTTTTCATCAAGATTAACTAAATGCAGAATGGTTTCACATTTCAGATGGAGGGATGACACTGGGGAATAAATAGATGATTAGAAAAGAATCATATAGCTGGAAGGGACCTTGGAGATATTCTAGTCCAACCCCCCACCAAGGCAGGGTCCTTATCCTACCACAGACAAATGATTGTCCAGTCTTTTCTTGAAAACCTCCAGCAATGGTGACAGACCCAAGTTTTTTTTTTCAAGTTTTGGTTCATCTTTTGAGATTTATTTGAACAATTTAATTTGAAATGCTTACTTGAAATACTTCTGTTTTGTTTGTGTTTAGAGGAAATAATTGTCTTGAGATGAAAAAAGAAACAGAAAGTAAAGTTCAAATGTTAACATCTGATCATAAATCAAAGGTAAGAGCAGAAGAAGCCCATTTAACAACGCATTTCAGTACGTGACTGTCATATAGCGAGAGTCATTTCTAGAAGTCAGAAATATGTTTTGTTCTCCAGAAAATAAGAAAAAAAAAGACTGCAGGTTCTTTGGACTACTTTGAAAAACAAAGGGAGAGGGCAAGACAGCAAGTAAAAATATGATTTTTTTTCCTTACTGAAGATTAGACTGGTGGTAAAATTATTTAGTCCATACAGCTGGAATTCCTTATTGTTAGATCTGACAGCACAGATTCATGCTATGCCAGTCAAGGACCACCATTTATAAACAAATATTTTCTTTATGCTCATAGATCTGTTTACTTAAACTTGGAGTTCAATATAGCACAATCTAAAACAGTGTCTTTCAAACTTGATGGCTGGGGAATTCCAGGAGTTGAAGTCCACACTTCTTAAAGTTACCAAGTTTGAAAAAATACTGGTCTAAAATATTCCATGTTCCATTAAAAGGGCCACAATGGCATGCTCTATTTTAACGTTTTCCCTAATTTTTCCAGATGCATACTTTGTATATCTAATATACTTTTGATTTGGGTGAAGGGAAGAAGGCACACAAAAAAAGGATTAAGATTAAGAACAGAAACAAGATTAGGTGGAAATGCCCTGAGGGACTGCTTAGAAAAGATCTGGGTAAACTCAGTGGTGGTTGAAATTGAGAAAAGATAAATCAATAGAAAGAACTCTGCACAACAACAGAAGTATCAAAAGAAGTTATTGCTGGAAGAAAAAAATAAAAGAAATATAAAAGCAAGGGGAAGAGGAAAAAACCCATGGGGTGGTTCATTGCAGAGCAAACTGGTTAAGGATCCACGTTTAAAAACAAGTAAAAAGCAGAGTAGGGAAAGGCAATTGAGGCAGAAGGCTATTCCAAGTTCGTAAGCAGAAAGGGGCCAGCAACATCATTGGAGGGTTCCGGTTAGGGTTCCCATGTGATGTGAAGACTGAAACACAAACTGGAAGGCAGGAGATATGACCCCAGTGGATGATTGTTTGTTCTTGTCATTAGAACTGCGACTGTTGCCTTTGCTACAGCCACAACCATTGCCATTAGAGGGAAATGGTTTGTTGACATGCTGGGAGAAGAATTGATGGGAGTATAATAGACAAGCCAGTCAGTAATGGCTTTGGAACATATTGCCTAGGGCTGAGTTCGGTTCACCTGTTTTCAGTGCTGCTATTGCTGTGAGTTTGGGTGGTTTATGAGATGGATTATAGAAACAGTTGAAATGATTCCTAAGTTTCTGATAATGGTAGAGACATATTGGATGGAATAATTTTTAATGTCAGCCCCAAAACCAAGAATGACACATCATGATTCTTCTAAGCTGAAGAATTTATTGTTTCACACCTATGGACAAAATCTTGGCACTGAGCACTCAAGTATCTCCATCTACAATACACTCTGTGACCTAGGGGCTGTCTTCATCCCCTTTCTCTCATACATAATATATGTACTGAGTTGCCTCTTCTCTGGAATATGTCTCCTCCCTCTGGGAATTCACCTCCATACTATATTCCATCACATTGAACTGGATAATGGACTGCAGTTGCTCTTCTTCTAACTTTCAGTGGAGGGTGAGGCTGAAGGCTGTTGATACCCAATTTATCTAACCAAAAGGTAGTGGTTGTGTACCACTTTATCTGCCTGGTGGTTATAAGGCAGAACTGCCCATCTATAATTTGACAAAACCTTCCTCAGGTAGCACATGAGACACAGAAATATAGGCCTCCACCTTGTAAGGGGGGGACAGTAGAGGACAAGATCTCAACTTCAAAGTACTAGTGTGGGGGGAAAGGGAATCTGGGGGAAGAGTTTGTAGTATCCTTTGAGCCCCTCTACTAGGAGCTGACTTCCTTATATCAGTACTCCTTCCACATTGGCTGGATGTGGGTTAATGCTACAGCCAATCAGTGTTTGGGGAGATATTTTCTATGGTTCAAGCATTGTTAATAGCTTTGTAACATAATGTTTTACTTTTCAGCCACTTATGTTGCAGCCACTTATTTTTTCCAAGGATTGACTGGGCATTGGCGGTCTATTAGCCAGGGTTGACTAGAGTTTCTGAATTTCTACCACATGGGCAAAGAGGGAAAAGTGCAGGGAACACAGAGCTTAGTATAATCCCAAGATTCTGGGTCGACAGAAAACATGGATCTAGAAGTGCCTCCTGCATTATCCACTTTAAAAATCATGAGTAGAAAAGACTGATCCAACTTTTCTCCCACAAAGGTGAAGGAAATTGTGGCACAGCACACCAAAGAATGGTCTGAGATGATCAACACCCACAGTGCAGAAGAGCAAGAAATGCGTGATCTGCACCTCAGCCAGCAGTGTGAACTACTGAAAAAGCTGTTAATTAATGTGCATGAACAACAGACACAACAACTGAAGCTTTCCCATGACAGGTCAGTATAACAATATACTGTTATTCTATTATTTGTTCACTTGGAAATGGTTGAATTTAGCCTAATGTCGGAGTGTAGGAGATGAAAGTATTTCCCATCACCATCCAGGCTCACCTAATTAAAAAAAAAAAGTCAGCTGGCCATTGTTTTAAAAAGTGCAGCCATTTCTCTGATAGTCCTGAGAATAATCTAATGTTGGTTGTATAATCTTGATGACTGGCAGATCAAAGCAAAGAGAATATACTCAGTGGTGGGATTCAGCCGGTTCGGGCTGGTTCAGGTGAACTGGTAGTTAAATTGCTGGCTGGCCCTGCCCCTTCCAGGAGTCCCCATGCACCCTATTTTTGCTCCCAGGAGGCTGCAGGGAGGCCTACTAGGCCTAAAACGGGGCACAGGGAGGTGCGCCCCCCCCCCCGCAGACCGCTTTCACTCCCAGGAGACTGCAGGGAGGCCTACTAAGCCCAAAACGGGGAGCAGGGGGGACGAGTCCCCCCCGTGGCCCTTTTTTGCTCCCAGGGGGGTGCAGGAAGCCGAGTGCTGCCTGTCACACCTCCTGGCCATGCCCACCATAGCCAGGCCACCCAGCCAGTTATTAGGACAGAGAACCGGTTGTTAAATTATATGAATCCCACCACTGAATATGCTCCTCAGTCTAGAACATTTAAAATTGAAATTTAAATGCCATAATTTTTCTTTTTTCCTTTTTTTTAGAGAAAGTAAAGAAATGCGTGCCAACCAAGCAAAAATTTCAATGGAAAACAGTAAAGCCATAAGCCAAGATAAATCTATCAAAAACAAAGCTGAAAGAGAAAGGTACATATTACATTGTTGATTATAGAATAAGTTTTCTTCAGGAAGATTCATGGGCTACTGTGTTTAATGTGAGTGGAATAACTTGCCTTCCCAGCAAATCATTATTACTTAATACAGTTGGAACCACGGGTGAAATCTAAATTTTTTTGCTACCGGTTCTGTGGGTGTGGCTTAATTAGTGGGCGGGGCTTGGTGGTAAGGTGACTGGGAGGGCGTGGCTTGTTGGTCAGGTGGGCGTGGCCAAGTCAATGTCACTTCTTTGCCCCTTTTTAACCTACAAAACACAACACAACACAACTGGCTCACCCACAATGTAAAAGCAGCTGTGCTAGACCCAAAATGGCCCCTGCAACAAGCAGGAACCTCACACAGCCACAAAAAGCCCAAAAAACCAACTTTCACACTTTACACACACAAAATTCCACATAGAGCTTTGTGAGATTTTGTGTGTTTGTGTAGTTAGAGTGAAACACTACAGAAACACACTAAATCTCAGAAAGCTGCACAAATATTATTTTATTTTAATTTATTATTATTTTTATATAAAAGCAGCTAAATTTAAAACTTCCTAAACTTTAAATGTCTAGGTCTAAAAAAAGAACAACTAAAAAAAAAACACAATTAACTATTTTTTTAAAGCTCCCAAAGGGGAAAAAAACTTACCCAATAGAACAGGGGTCTCCAACCTTGTCAACTTTAAGACTTACAGACTTCAACTCCCAGAATTCCTCAGCCAGCTTTGCTTTGCTGGCTGAGGAATTCTGGGAGTTGAAGTCCACAACTCCCTGCCTACTTGATTGCAGGCAGGAAGATTCAGTTGCTTGCTAATGCAATGGATTGCAGGGATTACAGCAAGGCATTGCGACCAGCAGCTAAGGTAAGCAAGCTGGGGGGGGAGGGGAGGGATTTTTGCTAACAATTAGCAGGCAACTCAGCTGAGATCATCAGAGCTTGGCTCGTCAGAGCCATTTAAAAGAAAAAAAAGTGATCTGGTGATCGTGTGGCTCAGCTGGGCATGGGGGGCGGGGGCAGGGATTTTTGCTACCGGTTCTCCGAATTGCCCACCGCCATCACTACCTACTCGCCCGAGCCGGTCCAAACCGGGAGCATTTCACCCCTGGTTGGAACCCACCTCAAAAATGTAATATGAATTCCATTATATTCAAGTAACATTCCAATAAATATTTGGCTGAAGGAATTAGGGGCTATTTTGTCCTGGAGAGAGAGGAGCCTTCCTGTATTTCTAAAGTTTATGTACTTTTGCAAATACTGGAATTCTTCCAAGTGTTGTGGTCACTTCCTCTTGGGTGGGATTGATGATATTTTGACTATAAAAGGGCTAGAACTGAGAAAAACAAGATCTCAGTTAATATGTATGATAGCTGATATATGATAAGTATGATAGCTGATATATGATAAGAATCTTAGACAATGAAATTAGCATTTCCTTGCTCCCCTCAAGTTTCTTTTTCCAGACCTTGTAATTGACCACTTTTCAAGATTCAATTACATGCATTCAGAAATATGTTACGAAGAGTTTAAAGTCCGTGCACCATTGTCCGACTCATTCCATTGCATGGTATGATTTGGACCATATTCTGTTCTAACCAAGGCTTCCTTGGTAATTCAATTCAAGTCCTTCATGGCACAAAACTTCCACTTCTATCCCCTGATCTATTATTTCAGAAAAGTTTATTATAATGGACAAGTTCATACAAAGCTCTTGCTAAATGCTAATAATAAAGAGTTATGGGCTAACTTTAGGCAGGCCATTGTTACAAGAGACTTGGATTTTTATTTGCCCCTTTTACATACTGATACATTGACCTGTGTGGAAATGAGTGTCCTGGTCTCTCCCTTTTATCTTCCACTTTTAAGGGGTCACTGGATTTCTCATTGCCCTTGATATAGTGCAGCTGGAAAAGGAAGAACAGTCATACAGTCGATTCCTAGTACTATATAAGGCAGAAAGAAAGTACAGGAGGAGGCATGCATTCACCCTATGAACAGATACATGGGTTCTTAAAAATAGGTTTTTAAATAAAGATAGGGTACCAGAGTGAAATCAGAGGCCCAAGAGAGATTTACCGATTTCCTTAAGCATAACTAGCTCCATTTCCCCATTTCCACATGCACTTTCTCACTTGAACCCTCTCAACTAGATCTACCTAAAGCCCTAGCTAAGGCATTGAGAGAAATGGGATCCAGAAACAGAAGCAACTCCTTTCTTTGCCTCACTCAATTTTATACAATGATTTGTTGCTAGGCAGATTCACAGATAGGTATTTTATGCTCTGAGTTTAGGTACTGGAGAAATGAGCCATTTCTACGATTATCAGAATCTTTCAGCATAACCTGCTGATTCCCTCCCCCCTTTCTTTAGCAACTCGGATTTTACAAAGCATGCCTGTGTAATGAAGGTTTAGCCTCCTAAATTTTGCATAAGCACTATTACTCTAACACTTCACTGGAATACAAATTGTGATCTTTCTACATTTCATACTGCATTCCTTGGAGATGCAAAAGCCAAAGATCCATTAAAATTAAGGTTATCTGAGGGACCGTCTCTTGCTAGTCACATCTACCCAACCCATCAGAGCGGGGAGGTAGGGAATGCTGAACACCTGGTTCTGCCAGCGGGTCTGGGAAACCTAGAGTGGGATGGAGCCCATTAAATGGCTTGTGTGATCTGCTGTCGCCGGGGCGGGGGTGGGAGGTGGGGGTGATTTTTTTACATTGTAATGTATTAAGTTATTTGATTCTTTTTGTTAGTTTTTATTGTTTTAAATGTGGTTTTATATTCTGTAAGCCGCCTTGAGTCGCCATGGGCGAATAAGCGGCAATATAAATTCAATCAATCAATCAATCAAATACTGTGAGATATTAATGAACAAAAAGGCTTTAACAGAATCAAATCAACCAATCAATCTTTATTTCGGTCACAGACCAGCAAATAGAAGTATTAAAACAACAATAATAATAGTAAAAAAATAAAAATAAAAGACAGACTTAATAATATATTGCGATTGGTGGTGGATTAACCGTGGGCAATTAAAGTTAGCCTAATTTTACATACCGCATAGCAGAGTAGCAGAATCACCATTATTGTGCACTTAGAAATCCAACTTTAAAAAAAATTAATAACCAGTGTCCCTTCTTTTGGTCCATTTAAGTGGCATTAAATAATATAGGGTAAATTCAGTGGTGCTCTAAATATCTATATCGATATTTTTCTGGATTTTTTGAGCTATTGGCACATATTCTTTATTCATAACATTTTTCCATATCTTTCATGTCAACTTCCTTTTATCAGCTTTAAACCCAGATTAGACATATAAGGTGACAACATTTGTCTGTGAGACCTGGGGCTATCAGGAATAAAGGTTGACTTCTATGCTTAGATTTAATTTGCCAGCACTGTCTGTATTTCAGCCTTGGATTCTACTTCATTTCATTGCTTGCTATTTATGTCTGTTGGGTGTTTTTTCCTCTCTTCTAACATGATTAATTTCAGATTTAACTAAAGAAACCAAATCTACAGTTTAATATTAATGATATAAATTATTGGTTTATTCCATTTTGTAGCCTATATAGTTTGGTCTGTTATTTTTAATCTTATTTGTTTCATTTCACTTATTTTATAGTTGTTCTATTTTCTGTACTATATTGCAATATCTGTTATTTATAGTTGTAATACCAATAAATAAATATATAATTCGTATTATTAGATCTTACGGTTAGAAAGTGTATTAGTTATCTATTAATAGTACCTATATTTTTGTTATCAGTCACTTATTCTAAACCTTAACTTTTTATTTCTGGAATAAGTGTAATTTGATATATTTTATACTGGTCTGTGACTGAAGTCCAGGAGGAGGAGGAGGGCTCTTAGCATTTTTCTTAGTGACATTTTGATGTGTAATACAACTAGACACTACAGTAGTAAATATATCATTCATAGGCGTGTGAGGGAGCTGAATAGCAGTAACACAAAGAAGTTTCTGGAAGAAAGAAAACGGGTGAGTAGTTAATCATCTGAAATACCATATATATATATATTTAATTGTTGAACTGTTTTCCAAAACCTGATGAAACTGAGTAGATTGAAAGACAGAAGGCATAGTGGAAATAGGAACTGCTCATGAAATAAAAACCATAAAGCATTTTTAGAAATCGTGACTTGGAAAAAGGAATATTTGAGGGCTTTGGTCCACACTAGGACAGAAAAGGTTATCTGTGACTATCTGAAGTCTGAAGGCAGATAATCTGTCCATCTTTTCTGCCCTGGTTCTGCTGGATATTCATTTGCATTTTATCAGTATCTGCCTTTCTCTAAGTTCTTTCCTAATTTACAAAAACATGGGAAGGGTGAGATAAAACCACATTATCCTAATTATTCTCACAGGGATTACTGTGTTTCTTGATACTAATTTTTTTAATGCATCAGATTCTTCATCAAGTTAAGGAGCTATTTGAACGTACATAGTCCTTAGTTGATCTCAAAAATCAGAAAGTAAATATAAATAAATATAATATATATGTGTTCTATATTTTATACTCTTCATTAGGTAATTGTGAAGATATTTCACATTGTGAAATTCAGAAATATACAGGTGTCAACTTGAATTTTGATTTATGGATATGTTCAGAAAAAGCACATTGGTTAAATTTGTATCAAGGGATGAACAGAACAGACTTCTTTGTTGCTGTTGATTTCCCTGAGAACACTGTAATTGAAAGTATCTGAATAGGAATGTCTCAGAAGGATGACTGAAACAAATGATCTCTGTTGTAGATAATTGCATGTGGAATAGCAGAATTGGTTTGAATCCAGCCCCAGCAATCTCATCTATATGCATCCTGTTTTGGGGCATATTTTAAACATTTTCCTAATGAAACTCGAACTTCTTACAGATTAAAAGCTGAAGACACTAAATTCAGTACAAGAATTTCTTTGTTGCTCTTTTTCGTGTCACAAATATTTTAGAAGGTGGAAGAGGATAGTTTATATAGATAACACTCCTCCTTATCCAATAAGTAAATGATGAATCTAGTTACACTGTTTGTATTTGTCAATCAAGTGGTTGGTTTATTATACTTAATTTTTACCCAAAAATTTATTGGTACGAAAAGAAAACTATGGAAACTCAAAATCCTTCTCCCCATCAACCCAATGTTCAGACATCATTTTCTTATTATTCTTCCAGTTTAGCTTTTGGAATGTTAATTACACTGAAAAATAACCTAGCGGACTGCATGAACGCAACCTGTTTGCTTGGTTTATGATTTAGGGTATTATGAGGACACAAATAAATGGGTTGATCAAATAATCACGTTCTACTTGCTGTGTTTTCCATGGGACTGTGTTTTGTATGTTTGATGATGTGGGACATTTGTAGCTCATGGAGTGACATGACTGAGTCCTTTATTGCCCTTGTCAGAAAGCAACATAAGCCCAGTGGGGTAGGCAGTTCAGGTACATTGCACCCTGCCCTGATGTCACAGTCCTGGAGGAACATTGAAGTCTTTATAAGAATCGGATTTTTCCTTTGGGTCATTCTATCAGTACAAAGAATTAAGATGGTCTGTGGAATTGAATGGATGCTAATCAGTGGTGGGTTTCTACCAGTTCGCCCCAGTTTGGGTGAACCGGTAGCGGCAGTGACGGGAGGCTCTGCCCACCCACCCAGAGGTCATCACGGACGCTCTGCACATGCGCAGAAGCGCCACGCGCGAGTGAAGCAAACTCTTGCCACACGGCAAGAGTTCTTTCGGAAAGCAATATTTTGGGGAGAACTATTTGAAAAACCCATGTAACCCAAAAGAATGTGGTTATTTCATTTTCCCCCTTTCTGGTTTGGCTTACAGTTGGCAATGAAGCAATCAAAGGAAATGGATCAGTTGAAGAAAGTCCAACTTGAGCATCTAGAAATTTTGGAGAAACAAAATGAGCAGGTAACCAACACCTGACTGTAAAAGGAAAGGGAATCTGGGAGATGTGGCTTGTTATCTGGTTATTGATTTAATTGAGGCAAGGAACTTATGACTTATTTGGTTCATATGAGTATCAGACCAAGACTGACATCATTTATGTGCATCATTTATAATCTATAGACCAGGGGTGTCAAACTCAGGTTGTCACGGCAGCATCACTTGATGTATCTTTTTTCTCCTTCGCTAAACCGGGTGTGGATCTGGCCAGTGCATGACACATCCGGCCCACAGGTCAAGAGTTTGCCAGCCCTGCTATAGACCATGCCAATATATGAACCAGCACTAAGAATAAAGATAAAGGTAAAGGTTCCCCCGTACCTGTGTGCTAGTCGTTTCTGGCTCTAGGGGCGGTGCTCATCTCAGTTTCTAAGCCAAAGAGCCAGCGCTGTCTGAAGATGTCTCTGTGGTCATGTGGCTGGCATGACTAAATGCTGAAGGTGCATGGAGTGCTGTTACCTTCCCACCAAAATGGTCCCTATTTTTCTACTTGCATTTTATATGTGCTTTCGAACTGCTAGGTGGGCAGAAGTTGGGACAAATAATGGGAGCTCACTCCGTTACTCGGTGCTAGGCATTTGAACCGCTGAACTGCTGACCTTCTGATCGACAAGCTCAGCATCTTAGCCGCTGAGCCACCGCATCCCTTTTCCCACCCCCACTCCAAATTCCAAGCAGGCATGTTTAAGTTTCGCTCCAAAACATTATGTTAGCTGTAGCCTAAAAGAGCAGTTTTGAGCTGTGCTTATTAGGATGTCATTTTGTGTCCCAATGGCATTTTGAGAGGTAATGAAAGGACCCCAGTAGCTGCTTACTGAAATGGGGAAACTAAAAGAGATGTGCTGTATTACTGGAAGCTAATCTTATGCAAAGCAGACATTTAGACAGAACTGAAGTTGTTTCACCACAATCTCTTTCAATATCCACTCTGACATATGCGATACTGTACCGTTAGTGGAAGCAAAGCCAATCTACAAGCATCTTCACTGCTGCTTCTACTATTGCTACTATGACAGACAAAGGAGAAGCAGCCTGCTGCTCTTCAGGTGTTTATGGATTTCAGAGTCCCAGTTAATATGGATAATGGCAAGGGATGACCAGAATTTTAGGCTAGAACATCTGGGACATACAGATTGCCTACTTTTTAAAAAAAAACAATTGTAAAAAAATTAAATGTAAGTTTTGTTATAGAAAAAAATGTGTTTTTAAGTTCAGTTATTGTGAAAACCATACTAAGTGAACAAGGACAGATAAAGATCAGTTTTATCCTCTTGTTGAATTCAATATGGTGTGAATAAACCATTCTTTCTTAAGTTAGGACATAAAAACATTGTAGGTTTGTCTAAAATCAGAATCTTTAGAAATTACTCTAGGTTCTATGTAAGTTATTTATTGAGCAATAATTGTATCTTCTGTCATATTCTATTACATGTAGAGAGGGCAGAGTGAATGAGCATGTGCTCATTTGGTATAATGTTATGGGGCTGGACTAGCAGCAGGGAAACCTGAATTTTAATCTTAGTTATGGCACAAAAACAGCTGTGTGACCTTAGGCAGTCCCCGACCTGTGGGCCACAGCCCACTACTGAGCCGTGGCCTATTTGCAACTGGGCTGCATGAACAGCGGGCCACTGCAAATGCACGCGCAGCTCAACTCACACAACCAGCAGGCCAGTGTACTTGCATGGCACATGCAACTCAACTGGCACGAGTCAAGCTGCACACACGTGTGTGCATGCTGATCCACCGCTCACGAGGCCCAGTTCCCATCTCTCCACCCCGCCAGCCAGGCCGCCAAACCACAAAGGATAGGGACTGCTGCCTTAGGCCAATCACTCTCTTTCAGTTTTAGGAAGAAGGAAATGAAAAATCATTTCCAAAAATGTTATCTAGAAAACTTCATAACTACGTAGATGTGTCCAGGTAGCTGTTAGGAATTAACTGTGACTTAAAGATGATACAGTGGTACCTTGGTACTCAACTACTTTGAAATGCATTGAATTTGATACTCAATGCATTTTGATATAAAAACTTTGTCCTGGTACTCATCGTTTGTTTGGTACTCAATGCACAAGCTAGAACTCAGTGTCAGCTGCTTTGTGACTCACTACATTATTCCTTATGGGAAAAATTTGTTTGGTACTCATCGCTTTTGGTATTCATCGCTCCTCCTGGAACCAATTAACATTAAGTACTGAGGTACCACTGTATAGCTATGTAGATGGGTATGATGCATTAACTGCTTTTCATAACTTTATCATTTCTGCTATAATTCTGAAAATTATTTCCACATCATTTCCTTCATTACTGACATACTCAAAAAATATTTACTGGTTTGGTTAATTTTTTCTCCTCTCATTTAACTCAACTTTATCAAGCTCAAACAAAAATTAGCGAATTGCACTAGAAATCTGTACCTTGAATATAGGTATACCCATTAAAGATTTGATGCATTTCTCTTTCTTTCATTTTGAAAATAAGGTGAAAGTAGAGAAAGCCAGAAACAGACTAGACTAGAACAGAATAACCTTTTTCTTGCATTTATATGTTGTTGTCATTTCACTTTTCATTCATTTTATTTGCTTCATTGTGTTGCTCAACTTTGATGTTATTATTTTTGTACAAACAGCTTTTGAAATCCTGCCATGCTGTCTCTCAAATTCAAGGTAGGATTTATGTACCCTGAGCAAGCTACTACTACTTTATAGATATCATTTGATGACTGATCTATATTGGCTTGATTTAGAATCAATTTGGTACTTGAGAAGGTCCCAAGAATTCTGTTGGCGTGCATCATATTTCCCCTTGTATACACTACTAGAGGCCTCCAAAAGCTGGAATTATATTTGTAGGCTTTAAATTTGACAGATGGCTAGTTTCTTATAAAATACATTAGTTTTGCATGTGTAGAGTCTTATTCATGTCTAGGGTTTATACAAAACAATTTGCCCACAATTATGAATCATCTAAACATAGGCATCATACGTGAGTGACAGTTTCTTATACTGAATAACTAAGTGTGTGCATTGTAATTGGTCAAATTCTGCACGAAATTGGACTATATCAGTTCATTCAAAGTAGGCAATTCTCACTTTTTGTTGAAAATCAAATCAAATAAGTAAATAAATACATGAAATAAATAAATAAATAAATATATATATATATATTGCCGGGAGTGGGGAGGGGGGGAGACCGCCTAGGTGCAGGAGCAAATTTTTCAGGGACTCTTCAGTCATCACATTTTGGGGAAAATGTGTCAACGTTTTTGCTTGCAAATGTCATCAAGTTTCATCAACAATTTCAGTTTTCCATATTTCACATCTGACATGAATCCAGGCCAAAATGGGCAACTTCTGATTTAGACTGATTTAGATATTTTTTATTGTATCTGAAGCATGTGATCAAATTATAAATGATTTATATAAGTAGCAATTGTCCCCTTTTTTTGGAACCATTGTTTAAAACACTGTGCAACCTGTCTTACAATAGGGCTCCAAGAAGCACAGGAGGAGCTCCTGTTTTTCAAATCAGATCAGTCTGGTTTAGACAATAGGGATGAACAGATAAACAAAACAAAGTGAAAATCATTGTAATATAGAAACTTAATTCTTAGGCGCTGTCAATTGTTCATGAAAAAAATGCTACCAGATACATCATGTGGCTGAAATAGTTTCGAAGCAGGCAGGTAACATCACCATTATTAATTTTATTAATGTTATTATTAACATTATTAATACAATAAACAGGAAAACTTGTGAAAATAAGACAAAATAACCTAGCACTGTCCGGTTCATGCTTTTCCAGAAATCAAGTTAGCGGACTAAACTGTTAACAAATTCTTTCCAACTAAAAAATAGATCTTTGGGATACTTGAAAAAATAGGTTGTACCACAGTCAATTCCAAAGTGTGTTGGTAGGTATAAGAGTCCCACATTTCTTCTCAAAAATAATATTGCTGATGGAGAAGAGTTACCAGGAGCCTGGCTCATTTGGAGCCATACCAAGCATATTTTGTATCTACTAATTATTTTCTGAAAGGAGATCAAAACTGTGTGGTATGCTGGCAAAAGGGAAAAGGATACAGGAAAAATAGTGAAGTAACATTCCTGAACACAAAAAAAAAAAGGAACATAAAACTTGCTATTGGACTTGGACGTAGACAGAGAGGTTCAAAATAAATACAGGTAGTCTTTGAGTTATGACCACATTTGAGCCCAAAATTTCAGTTGTAAAATGGGGCAAAACTCATTTATCAAATGTTTCACTTAAATGAGTTTTGCCCCATTTTACAACTTTTCTTGCCACAGTTGTTAAGTGAATCACTGCAGTTAATGAGTTAGTAGCCTGGTTATTAAGTGAATCTAGTTTCCCCATTGACTTTGCTTGTCAGAAGGTTCCAAAAGGTGATCACATGATCCTGGAACACAGCAAAGGTCATGACTATGAACCAGTTGCCCAACATCTGAATTTTGATCACATGGCTGCAAAGATCATAACAATGAAAAACAGTCATAAGTCACATTTTTTTCAGTGCCATTCTAACTTTGAATGGTCACTAACTGAACTGTTGTAAATTGAGGACTACCTGTATTCAGATAGGCGAACTAGGAGAAATGCATGGCTTATTCTGCCAAGGGTGGGACACTTTCACTGCTTGCTTACCTGTGCCACTTTGACAAAGGCAGTGGGTATGTGACCAGTTGGGTCCACAAGTTAATGTGACTTCTCATGATGATGTCATGAAACTGTGGACCATCAGAGCCTGTAAATGCAATGTCAAAGAGCCTGTAAATGCAATGTCAAAGCATAATTGGGCTGCCCACTGTAAAGAAATAATGATTGGATCCTGCCTAATGTGTTAGTTTTAATTTGGACCGCAATTAAATAATACTTTTGGATGCTAAACTATTGAGTGCCCTTTATTCTATATAATATGGTGAAAATCATGCCCACGTGTAACTCCATCTTCAAGCATTTCCTGAAGGCCTGATTTACTTGGTTATTGAATAGCTTTTAGCTGTAGGATCCCTGAATTCATTTGGAAAAATTCAGTTGTTGAATTATACCATATTGGTCAGTATTTCAAAGGAGGCTGTACTTTTTTGTCAGTACATTATGTTCCAGATTTGGGCTTTTTCAATTGTATTTTGACTTGAAATGAGATTCATTTGCCATAAAAATATAAGGGGATGTTTTCCAAAAAGAATCATATTAATAGCATCTGCCCTAAATACTTCGATTTGTAGTTGATCAGGAAAGAATTATATTTACCTAGTATAAATAAATACTTTAGACTTGATTTATTCAATATCTCTTTGCCTATTCTGAAGCTGCAGGAAGCACCACAGAATATTGTATGGCTCCCTTATGTTTCTCCTTTGATTTGTGGGATGATTCTGAACGTTGGTCCTTTTTGTCACAACCCTCCCTCCGTAACACAGAATTACAGCTCCAAAGAACCTATAATAGACACAGATGTATTGTCTCATTCCTCTTCACATTCAATCATGCTAACAGTCTAATTCTCCTGCTTTGCAGGCCAAGGAGATGCAGCAGATGGTGAAGCTAGAGGCAGAGATGGACCGCAGGCCTGCAACAGTGGTATAAAGCTCCAGTGCACAAACTGAAATCTGAGGCCATCTGATTTTTTTTTCCTTTGGGGTCTTTGCAATGATAATTCACTGAAGATTGGAAGATGGGATCTCTTCTGCTTAGTGTCAGGTAGCAAATCTTGGCCGAGGAGGATGGATTTTGGGGGTGGGGGGGGGGGGGGAGGATACTGTACTTTATTTTTCCAAATGACACTCTCCTTCTCAGAAGAAAGCAAGTGATTTTAAAATCCAAGAGCACTGCCCTTAACACGATGGTTGTCTTTATCTGAATTATAAACACACCACTTGTTTCTGTTCTTGAAATGTTTAGTCTTGTTTGACTTGCCTTCGTATTTTATATTACTTTTTGCCTGGGCTTCCTTGACTTTGGAAAGACCAACAACTCTACTGTAATTTCCCAGAATTAATCTGCCTCCCGAAACAAGAACCTCTGAAGAATATTTCATAAGAGTTCTCCTTCCCTCCAAAAGAACCTTACCTTGTAATACATTTGATAGCGTCAGTGGCTATCTTTCTATGAAATTTTGATTTTGCCATGAGGACTGCTTGGACTAAAGTGTTACCAAATGAAGTGTTGCCATGGAGAGTCCACCTTTTCCAGATGTTTGTTTCCCATTCTGTTTCTCCTCTGTCCTCTAGTTCTTCATGTTTTCCTTCCAATGATGAGTCAGCATTCTATGGACATTTGTTATGCCCAGTCCTAATAGGGCTGTTTTAGAGGATATCCTATCCCTTTGTCTGTATCTCTGGGTTTTTTCCCTCCAAAAATATTTTATACTCTATAAACCTTGACAATGTATAATGCCATTTTGGCTGCATAGAAACAGGCTCCGTAGAGGTATAACTTATATCAGCATATGATATTGGGAAAGTCCCGTCTATAAACTTTGTAGAATAGATAAACATTCATTATTAAAGCTGTGCGGGTTATTTCTGTGTTCAGAATTTCATCATCAGCAAGTGCCATGCTGGGCTGGATACGTCTGAATTAGAAGTGGTATTTTTTGTAAAATCCTGTTGAAAGGATTGCAAGGTAGCAAAAGACTGTTCCTGTGCCATATTGATCTATGATGCTGTAGTTAAAAAAAATAAATGAAGGAATTGTATTTTAGGCACTCTAACCAGAGTTTACAGACTACCTAAAGGTTGCATTTCAATTAACTTGTCACCAGTCCCAAATACTACTGTTTTTGTGTTCTAAGATTTAAATAGATTTTGGGAGGAGGGTGTTCTAACTGTGATAATGTAAAGTATTTATACCGATTCAGTCACAATCTTGTGGAAAATTCACATTCCTGTAGCAACATTGACAGTAGTAAACAAAACCTGCATGTGGTAACAAACACCAGTTCTGACCAATGAATATTGTATGGCCACACAGTCATTCTCTTACTGGTAAATAAATACAGAATCAATGTACAAAACAGAATATTTCACTCACAAAATATCAGTATAAATAATATATATATTTGTGTATATGAATTATGTGGGCATTCTTACAAGTCGAGTTGAAAAAAATTGTGTTAATTTAATTTTACACACTATATTTATGCAGATTTTCAGACTTTCATATGAGGAAATGATCCTTTTTATGTCTGTTAGATATCCAAATAATTTGCTACAGTATTAATGTGCACGTTCTCAAAGCCCACTGTAGTTACAATGCAGAACAGTGCACGTCAATCTTCTGCTTGGAAGTCTCCATGTTACCAACATAAGCAAGACTACGGGAAACGGGTAGTTTAGAACAAAATCAGATAACTGATTTCAGTAATACTCAGTACTGATCATGTTGTTGTATATGCGTGTACAAACTGATTCAAAATATTCCTAAAAATGGCATATGGAGATAATGATGTAATTGTTCTGAGATACAACTTTCAGATTCTCTAATAAAAACCCCTGAAACAAAGTTAGTATCTGTTCTTGTGGATCAAATTATCATGGGGTGGGTGGGTGTGTATGTGTGAAAACATCTTCCTCACACAAATTTTTAAGTTTTTCAGTCTAACCTGCTTTGATATCCTTATGACTTTAAACTATAAACTATATTCTTTATCACACTGCAGATGTCTCACTAAAAAAAATAACTAGCTGGTTTTATCTAATTGTACTTTTTATGGAAAACCTCTTAATCCTGCTGAATCCTATTTGAAAAATACAATAAAAAACATTTTATATTCAATTACACTAGAAACATTCTTTTCTTGATGTTAACTGTGTCAACAAGTACTTACTATATGGCACATATATGGATCATTTTCCCTCTTTAATTCCTTCTGCCTTTTCCCAATCTTCATTTCTGTGGTGTTACACAGCAGCTGTCCTTGTGACAATTAACTCTGCCCTGGTCAAGCTTTAATAATTCTGAAACAAGTGACACTCTCTGACTCCCATTGTGAGGTCACTATCAACCTGTTTTATATTGTATTTTTTATGTGAGTCACAAAGTCATTTTTTATTGTGGCAGCGTAAAAATACGCTTAATAAATATTCCCTCTGTATGATTGCCACATTACATTAAGGGATTGAAGATCTCACATTCTATAATAATGGTGTAATTATTAGATTTTTTCTCGACCAGATTCCTCAATTACCTCTTGTAGAAATAGAACTCAGCACATTATGGTTTCATAGTGTTCATATGTAAGTATTCATTTTACAATGCAGGAATTTTCTGTTTAAATCAGCGGTCCCCAACCTTTGTGGCTGGGGGGCTTGGCTGGGGGGGAAGAGGAACAGGCCGCGTATGCACACACAGCTTGACTGAGTTGAGCTATGCATGCATGTGTGCGTCTGTCCACCACTTCTGCGAGTTGAGCTGTGTGTGTGCATGCCAACCCATGGCCTGGTTGCTATTTGGCCAAGGCCCGATAGTGGGCTGTGGCCCAGGGTTGGGGACCCCTGGTTTTGATGAAACCCAGTTAAGACTGTTGTCATAGTGCACAGCTCTTCCACTGAGAATTTCTTAAGAATTGGATCTGTGAGGCTATTCTTTTTTCTGTCTTCCAAAGTTCCTGGGGAGCTGGGAGGGTCTGCCAAGAATAAGCTGTGGCATTAACTGCTGAGGGACTGAGGAATATTAGACAGTCACACCATCTGCAATCTTCTTCTTGTTCTCTGATTCCCAAGATCTCAGCTCATCTCAGCCAGCAACATTTCTGCTCCTTAAATTCATTAGGGTGGGGTCATTTTGTGCAGAATTCAAAAGGAAATGAAATGTTTGAAAAATTAGCTTCTGCCTTCCCTATAAATTAGCCATTTGTATTTGCCTATTACTATTAAACTATAAAATGATTCTTGTGCTAAACTCCACAAAGGTGTTTTTTGACACAACCTGGGTTTATATCTGTTCCATATTCTCAATATGGCATGTCTAACATACAGAGATTTTTAAAATCCTCATTAACCTTGACTTTATTATATCACAAATATGACACCCAAATTTCAGGTCGTGTCCTGAGTCAAAAGCCAAATGCTGGACAATTTAAAGGCTGGTTGAGATATGGAGATAGAAGAAAATGGCAATTCTAGAGAATACACCAATTTTTCCGAAAGGCATAATCTTTATTAAGAATATGCATGATTTGGACTTCAAAATAATTTAGCTGCTACGGTTTCTAAAGTGGCAATATTACCAAAGACAAGTTCATAATCCTGTAAGTTTGCTTTATAAATGCAAACCTCTCCGATGGAGATAATAGCAGTCCTTCTGTGAGTATACAAACCAGATACTTAATATTTTAAATGTATCATCATTTCCCAAAGTTGCCAGTTTCTGATCTAATATGATACAAGCACATTACTCTTTCATCACTCATTATAGAGACATTGTCCACAAAACATCCTGCACTAACAGGGAATGCCACATTTTAGACTTGCCTTTTCACTCCTGAATTGATCATTGCATATTCAGTTTGTCGCTCCTTCCCAAACTAGCTTGATTATATTGTTCCTTTGTTTGCTAGAGAGACCCAGTTTGATCTGGTGACTAAAGCACCAAGCTAGAAACCAGGAGACTATGAATTCTAGTCCTGCCTTGGCATGAAAGCCAACTGGGTGACTTTGGGCCAGTCATTCTCTTTCAGCCCAATCCAATTCAGAGGGAGGTTGTGGGGAAAATAGGAGGAGGAAGGAGCATCGGATATGTTCACCACCTTGAGTTTTTTTTATAAAAATAATAAAGGTGAGATATAAATAAAATAAAAAACAAATAGGCATGTTATAGTAAAGATGTGTGGTTCTTACTACTACCACCATAATCAAATACAGTGATAGTTTTATCTGGAAAATCATTTTATGTCCATTGCTTCCAAAGAAACTTAAAATCTACTTGCATTAAACTGCAATTTTGCTTGCTATAATGGTAAAAATCCATTCTTTCTGCCACTTTGTGTGGAGAAGACATGGAGACTTCTGTTCCACCCTATCAGTTTTGGAAATTACATTGTAAATCACTGCTACCTTTCAGTCAATAGAAGCCAATAACCCCACTTACAAGGGCTGCATTCGGGAGCTCTGCATTGAGAGAAGAAATTAGAGCAGCTGCTCTTTTCTTTCATGAGTCCAAACCTTATCCTGGAACCAACTGCCTCATTTAAAAGTTACCCACTGCAAACAATGTAGTGTTTCTCCCTAGTATGTCAGATGTCTGGATGCAGTATCCTACCAAGGACAGTTGAAGTGGATGTTTTGAAAAATGCAGTATTGTCCAGAGAAATCACACAAGAAATTGGAACAATGATTCTATGATGGCTTAAGCTTTGGAGATGATAGGCTTCATTCTACAAATGTAGGATGCTAAGGAATGAACAAAGGAATTTGCTTCTTCTGATAGCATCTTGGGGAAAGGAAATCTGGCTGTCATTTGAATTCATTAGAGGCAGAAAATACATTTGATCTGGTCTACGGTAGTTTGACAGTTGCGTGAATTCCTGATTATTTGTCATCTGCTATTGCTTAGAAAACATGTTAACAACAATGAACCTTCAACCTTTGGCAGATCTCTTAAAGTCATCCATGCCTCATTTTTTCCCCCCAACCCACTGGGGGGAATGACTTTTTTCCACAACTCAGGGAAAATAGTCATTGGAAATGTCAGGTGTATACATTTTTTTTGTAATCTCCTATTGCCCCATTTAATCTTGCTATTG